CTTTTCTCATCTGTGCTCGTGTTAAACAGTAATGATAATAGATTGCCTTAAGGCTTTTTTCACACCTATTTAAATGTTTTAAATGTGTTATTGCAACCTATGGACAAGGGCTTCTGCAAATAAAATTAAAACTAATCATAATTCTAATCTCTCTCCCATTTCTCACCCTCAACATGTACAACTACCAGTAGCCAAAAAACTAGCCTTATACCTTCACTCTGATATCCTGCATCAGCACTGGCTTAGTGTTTAATCTCTTGAACAACAACAGAAAGACTGTTTTTTACCCAAGTCAAGCTAATTATATAGGCTTTGTTTAAAAAGCTTTTTGAAGGCTACTGCAATCAGAAGATTAATGTTCAGTGAACATGGTATATTCCCTTATTACCAATGTAATTAAACATGATAAATAAGGGGGAAATGGCACCACACAATAGTGTTTGTGAAACCTCTCGTTATCTTGTTAGTGGAAACATTTTATACACTGGTATTACGAAGTCCCAAGTCTATGGTTTCTGGAGAAAATCTTATCTGAAAGACTATTCTGATAAACATTTTAACATTCTGTAATGTGTTGAATAATTTCCAAAAGTTTTGAGAGCACCGTTGGCATCTTTATACTCAGTGATCAACATTAGCTGGTTTTTGGACTTTCAAACAGTTTATACGAAATTCAAATAGTACAATCCCATTTCAAGTAGGAAACATTAGACAGTTAGTGCCCTTTGGGCAGACAAATGCTTCTCATAAAACAACGGTTAAGCAATTCAGAGACCACTGCTGAAACTGGTGATCAGGTAAGTCCTGTCTCTTACCAACAGAAATCTAGGCTGAATGTTACCTTCCAAGAAGGACTCATTGTGCAGCTAATAGGAAAGGAAACTATCACAAGCACAAAAACCAGAGTGGTCAGACAGGTTTCCCATCTTAAGATTGCAGGAAACACCAGCGTAGACTATAAAGTTAAAAAATGTCACTGGGGAACACAGAACTTACATTTTTCAAAGAATTTTGCTGATGTTCTTTAGCGTCAAATATTCACTGACAGTGCAGTTGTTTTTTTTTTTATTTTGGCATTTGTTGTAATCGTAACAGAAAATAAACATCTGTAGAAGTAACAGTGTCTGAAACGTAACTTCTCTCTAGCTTAGGCTCAAAACGTTCTGAACCATCAGCTACACAGTACATGCTGTGCCCCATTGATTTACAATTAACAGCCACAATACTGAGCTCAGCAAGTTTCTATGAAAGCAAAGAGTAGGCATGCAAACAACACCAATCACATTTGCTTATTACAAATGTTACCAAAGGGGTAACACAAACTATACTATTTTACACTACCTGAGTATTTCTAAGATATAAAAATTCCCACAATCATGCCAGCATAATGCCCTTGCAATGCAATTGTTTCCATGCAAAACATACAAGTTCATTACTTCACACGGTGAATTAATGTACTTTGTAACAAAGATATTGTAAATGCAATACACTGTACCAGCACTGGAAGTGAGTAATGTTTAGTCAAAAGGATAACCCAGCTACAAAATGCATGCTGCGTGTAATGTGCAAGACCCTCCAAGTGACCCAGGTCACTCTGCGCTTCGTGCCTCATTGTTATATCCAGTATTTGTTTGCAATCTTTTGAAATAAACACTCACTCGGTGTGGCAGAGCTGCCTGAGCAGCTGCGTGCTGGTAAGAGACAGTGGCAGCTGTGGTTTTACTAGCACGGGTGAGGCATCCCTGTCGAGCACTGCCCAAAGAGCCGCATGGTAATTGGCACACCCACTGATCCAAGCAAGCTGGCACTGTAAGGAGTGCCATTCATGGCATGGATCAAGCAAGCACACAGATCGCCTTTACATCCATGCACGATGGAATTCCTTTTCCTTTTTCTCAGAAATAAACAAATCATACTCTTTTTTGGAGAAGCTGTTCCAATGAGAAAAGGCACTAATGTTTCCTTGCATTTATTTCAAATAAATTAGATGGCTTACTTAATTCAAACTACGTTAGCACTGGAGTTGTGAAGGGCTTTGTGTTTTTCTATTATTATTATCCATTCCTGGGCACACTTTAGACAGCTCCTTCTATTTCAGGAACAGAGTCGATCAACACCTTTTGACCCCTCTTCTGCCCCGACTCATTTCAACAGGCCGGGCGATAATTACCACAATGCGTCATCAGCGCAGTATTTCAAGTTCTTAGCACATGTGCTTCCTACACACACAAGGGACTGAGAAACGATCTTATTGAAAAATGAAATTAGCTCAGCGGAGCCTGCAAGCTTTTAGAACATCAAAAGCTACCGTATTTTCATGTAAATGAGGAGGTGTTTGCCACATCTTTAAAAGTAAAGGCAAAAGAAAAGTTTTTCGAGGAAGTGGCATGAAGGAATTGCGGGAGAAGATGGCTGAGAGAAACGGGTAAAATGAAATAAAACCAGAAATCCATAAAACAGTGCAGTGCGCAAAGATGTAAGCTACTCTCATGTGAGCCAGAGAATGGTCATTTTGAATAAGTGATTTTCTGTTGCCTTCCATGAGTGGGGAGATCAGTTTGGGTTGGTTTTCATCTCGGTGGAACCTGTCTATCTTTGTTCAAAATGCAGGCGGGCAGATAGACAGTACAATTTGTTTATTACAATTCCCCTGGGTTATTTTAGTTCAGTGTAGAGTTGGCCTCCAGTGGGAAATAAACTCCACCTACAAAGGACACATAAGCCATGGCTCACCTGGCCGAGCAGCCCAGAATGTCAAAAGCTTGCAGTACCTTTAAAGCAAAGCTAAACCACGGAATCAAAGGGACATTGTGCACTACGACGCTGGGAGGGCTGCACTCACCGGGGGCTCCATAAAGGGAACGGGCTCCCCTGCATTCTTCAGCAACGTGGCCAGCCTCTTCAAGCACAGCTCGTCCGGCTGCACGCTCTCCTCCTGCATCTGCTGGTACAGGGCCTTGGAAGATGGCAGGTCCTTGTCCATGGCTTGGTGGAGAGAAAGCAGAGTGGTCAGGCCACAGGGCACATCCATTTGTCTCACCAAAAGACACCCAGAGACACTCCGCCTCTGAGACTCAAAGGACTTTAATTTATCTGACTGCACTACAATTCCACTCTCACCTGGATCCCCTCTGAGTAAGGAGAGATGAGCCAGGCCAGCTGTTTCAATTCAGGGTTTTTGTACAAACAGTGTCTTCGACTGGACCGACTAGGTGACTGTTAATTCTCTTACGTAACTATTTACGAATGGGTGGTGGTGAAATGCACTGGAAAGTCAGGTATTCTAACTAACATGAATTCAGATAAATACCCTTGACAAAAGAAAAGGCAACAACAATGAACACTCAAAATTTCTAGTTCTACATCCAATTCCAGAGACAAGGACACACACAGTTATGTTGTATTAAAAGGAGAGAAAGGCATGTTTCCCTGAATTAGAGTACATCATTTCAACTTAATCAAGATTTGTTTGTTGGATTCTGGAGTTTCTAATCCTTAGAGATGGCAAAGCTTTGCATGAAATAATCATAGTCCTAGTATGCGAAATGGAATAAGACTCAGTTCAAATGGCACATCTAAGTACTTTAACATGCAATATTTCTGCTTGACAAAGCCCTATCAGGAATTCGTTAGCAGGTATGTATAAAATGCACCAGTGGCTAAATTGTACAACTGCTGTATTTGGAGATGGTTTAGACATAGCTACATTTTTAATCTACTATCTAATAACATCTTAAAGACAAGTTAGAAGCACTAAAATATTCACATTCCCTACTCAAAACTGTCAAAAAACTGTCTCAAAACTTATCAACAGGTATGTAAAAGGCCCATTTAAAGGTTACATGTTCACTCAAACAAAGGAAATGCAAGTTGTCCTCTTCATCCAAACTTAATAATGGGTGAAACTAATGTTTGTTACAAGTTTGTTACAAAATGTGCAAGCTTATAGTTTGTATCTAGCATTCAAAAGGCAATAGCAATGGGTGTCATAAGCACAGAACAAACTCAAAACATCCAAGCCTTTATTACTGTTTTTTAGAAAGCTGTCTGTAAAGAGGATTTAAGAGAAGTGAACCCAGGTAGTGAACATATTTCATGAATCAGAGTGGTATACCATCTAGAGACAAGGTATTTGCATGGTATCATTCAGTCTTTAAAATTGTCAGGGGAACATTATGAAAGACATGGTCTGTGTGCTAATCTCTTGTTATATGGATGTACTTCTACCCTGCATTCAGAGAGCAGAAGATCTAACATGCCAGGAACCTCCCTCTTCTTAAACACAAATGAGCTACTTACCATAGGACTTCATTAGGTACGCGTATGCAGTCTTCCTCTCTGGGAACTCAGGAATAATTTCCAAGAGGGTTTTGATCTTATGAGCCTAAACATTAAATAAAACAAAAAACAGATAAATGTCCTCACCATATAAATACACGTCCTAAAGCAAAGTCCGGCTAAGAAATGGGACTTGTCATTTATAAACTGCAATGTTTTTTTAACCCTATATTTTGCACAGAAAACTGGGATGACTTGTGCAAAGCATAACTCTGAGGCAGCTGTTACCACATCTACTTATGTTTCTGTAAGGATTTCTGAAAGCATAAAGGTAAAATACTCACCTCTAGACTACAAGAGTCTACCAACAGAGACAAACCAGAGCCCCCACAGAGGTCAGAGCGGTATTGCTGTACGCTTTAAAAAGGGATGGCTCTTACCTGTCCAGGCTTCTGTGCAGCTCTAGTAATGTAAGACACCAGAATGTCCTTCTGCTCCCCGATCCCAGGACATCTCTAGAGGACAGGAGAGGAAGAAAGTCAGACTCCCAGTACTGGCCATAACAGGCTGGGCATCTCCAGTCCTCAAGGGTAGCAGAGTTCACAGACTGTCATTCCACCACCAATCAGAACTGGTCAATTGAATGATCAAATCACCTCGTGTGTGAGGTCTCAATGAGAAGCTAACTGAAAAGCACCTGTAACCCTTCAGGACTGTTGAGAACAGGAGATGCTAATCCCTAATCTAGACAGAAAATAACTAGTTAGACAAAAGTTTGAAGAGTAACCTTGTTCTAGAAACCTGCAGCTCCTCAAGAAGATGACTGATGGGGTTCAATTAGCCACACAATAAGCATCATGCAGGACAGTGATACTCCCTTTTCTTTCACTCACTTCTTTTTTCACAGTATGAAAATGACGGATGAAGATTTTGTACAGAAGTCCAGAGTTATTTTGTGTAAGAGCTTTCTTTTAAGGGAGACACAGCAGGCCTGTGCAAACAGGAATGTGCTCTTGTGTGTTTGTGTGTGTGAGCCAGTGTGTGCGGAGGTTCCTGTGTGTGTGTATGTGAGGGTGAGCAGTGAGCAAGACGCGCATCTGTGTGTAGGGAAGCAGCAGTCTTCTTCAATTATATTGCCAAGCACTCACAAGTGAGCTGAAGACCAGAAGGTTAATTATACATTTAATAAGGTGTCAGGCAGATAACTACTCATTTCTTTATAAAAATTAAAATGTACAGAGTGAGTTCTCTTTAAAGTATAATTATCTACACTTATGAATACAAAAGGACCGATTTCAATCTCTCAGCTTTTACTAAAAAGCTCTTTCAGTGAGAGACAGCCGGCTTTTTTTTTACTTCTTTTAGTTTAATATCACTGACAAAGTTAATACGGAGAAGTTTGTGTGACAGCTCAGAGACACCCGAATTTTCCATCTTTTAAAATCCGTCAGGGTGGAGCACAGGAAAGCCAAGATTATTTCGCCAGTAAGTACACAGACACTCTATTTATAATCTTTCGTGCACATTTTAAAAATGGGGCAATGGAAACAAAGCGCTACAAATACAAAAGGCTGAATGGTCTTAAATTTTATCAGAACTGCCAAAGCTTGACACTGTCCCATAAGGTGGTTAAAATGTCTATACACAGGGCAGTCAATTCACAATCAGATATTTGCATCTACATTTTTTCATCAACTGAATGGAACGATTTCCATTACTTCAAACCAAAGTTAAAATGACAATTTGTGTAAAGACAACAGCTGGGGAAAATGCAAACAAAATGTGAAAAAAAGTGTAGGTGCCCAATGTTTTTAATGCGAATTTACTGGTACACTGCTACTAGTACTGACTTTATAGGTGTAAAATGTTCTTATGTTAAAGTGCCAATCGCCATTTGAAAAAAACAGTTATGTCAGCACTCACATGCTAAATGTCACTTTCTAATTAGATATTTACCCCTGAAGAACATCTAGTGACAGCAATCAGATTATTTATTTCTGCTTTTTTAATACAGATTAATACAGAAAGGTTATGACTTTAATGCTAGCTTTGTGGTAGTGGTCCCTTTTTCTTCCTTTGTCTTTAAGGGGTCAAAATGAAAGGGACACCTTCAGATAAAGTCTACTCTGAAGTCTAAGGCAGTGACTTCAATCTGCAGCAATTATGTTCAATGTCACTGGCATTTGTGTACAGAGCTACGTGGAGTTAAGCCTTTCTGTGCATCCCCTTTATCAGTCTTCTCCTCAGCCCAGTGTGCTGAAGCTGCGAAGGAGTCCCTGCTGTGCACATCACATCTCTGTCTCTCTCAGACAAACAGGCGTGTTCCTGTTGCTATCTGGAACAGTAGGAGGTCACAGGCAATATCTTCAGGCTCTTACAGATCAGAAGAAAAGAAGCAGTCAGTAATAAAAGGATTGCCATTTTATTTCTGTAAATGGATCTTTTCGTGATACAGATAGCTTTTTTAAAAGTAAAACTAACAAAGCTGAATTTGTCAAAAGCACAATGTAATATAAATGCTCACTGCAAACCCTGTCCAACAATGTTCATGGCAGTAAAAAAAAAAGTTGTTTTCAGTCACTATAAGCTATGAGGACCTTTAGAGCCATAAAAATCTCAGCTGTCCTGAAGACAACTGAAATCACAGTGATGAGTGTAGCGGGGAAAAAAAATCAGGGCAGCTAATCTGAATTATGCTAGCAGATTCTCTCTTGTCCTGAAGTCCGCAGTGGTGTCCAGCCTTTAGCAGGTGTGTTTCAAGTCTCATCAGCTGTGACAGATTACCACATGCCGAGGCCTGTATGAGACTATAGCCCTGATGGACAAACTAAGTGCTGTGCACTCGTCTCAGTCACGCAGCCTGGAGAGCTGGGGCCTGGCTATCATATCACTACCACAACCTTGCCGCTGCCTGCTGGAGCTGCATGCGGCCTGGGGACCGCAGTGATGTGTCTGCCTGTTTGTTTGTCTGCTTGTCTCCTAATATGTATGTGAGCTCCACAACATAGCTCGCCCTTACAAACTTCAGAACCATTACACTGCTCTGAAGGTGTCACTTCACTGACACTGCAGGGGGGCCTGGGGAAACCTGCAGTCATATCTTTTCTTACCAAAATGGGGTGTTATGTGTGTATGGGGGGGGGGGGTTGTTCAGTACTTCATACTGCGTGTCCTTCAACACTGTTTTGCTTCTTCTGCTCCAGTTCCAACAGCAATGAAATAACATTAACAGCCATTTGTAAATGATGTTTTTTCCCCACTCCCTGAAAACACCATGTCCCTAAAGCTTTTAACACAGTTGTATTTTAAATGGATCAGAAGCGCTCAGCAGAAGAATGGATCTGTAGAATTACTCAATTATAATGAAACAACTCAAGTGAAATCAATTTCAGTGCTTTTCTTAAGAACATGGTACAAAGCAATGTGATCTCCATTTTCTTGCTCTGATTGCCCCCTGTGCATTCAACCATCTTCGGACTGTCTTCTTCTAACTGCTTAAAAATAATTAATGAAGTACAACAGTCCTGACAGGAACAAAATGGGTGACAAAACAGAGCAGCCGAAAACAGCACTATCTGGGACAGAATGGCTGTGGACATCATGTAGGGTCTGGTGCAGAAGATCATGCAGAAGTTAGAAATGTATTCTAGAAGGAAAGGAAAACCCCATTGCTTGTGGGTGCATACGTATATATAAACTTAATAAATATCTATTTTCAGCAGGCTTTTGTGCTGAAGACAAAGCACTTACTTGCAGTAAGAATTTGGCATCATCAACCTTGCCTGCATCTAGCAACTGCAGGAAGAGATCTGTGGCCGGTCTGTATGAAGAAAAGTGATTGGCTAGCCTCTCTGCCATGGCGCTTACTGAGAAAATACAGAAAGGGGTCATCAGGTCACAGTCCCCCACCTCCTAAACGGCGCACACTCACTCAGGGAGATGACCTCTTAATTCAGTCTCAAATTCCACCTGTTCATCTGAACCAGTCACTGAATATGAAGACTCGACATTCTAACCATCAAACATTTCCGAGGATTTTATAATAAAGTATGTGGGACTCATGATCAGGACTTACAACTGGCTGTATAATCAATGCAGCATTTATAATCTAAAACTTGCTACTACCAGGAAACTGGTTGAGCCTAACCCAGTCTCATGGCAATCTCTCGTTTGTAACCTTTATCTTTTTTATCCTCATTTGCAATTTCTGTGGAATTAAAAGACTTCGACTGCAAAAGGCTCAGAGTGTAAAAATGTTCCCTGAGAAACAGGGGAAAGGGAGCCCTTCTTACATTTGTCCAGAGCCGGCTCCAGATTCTCTTCTATGACTTTCCGGAAGACAAAGGACACGCTGGAGGCCCGGGCACCCGGATCCTGACCTTCTTTTCCAGAGATGAAGATGGGCTCAATGCTCTCCACTCCTGCCTCGATATTGCCACTGTGAAGGGCAGAACAAATGAAAATTGGGCAAAAGAAGCAGAAAGAAATATCACATACCAGCTGGTTTCTCACTGCAAGGCCTAACATGGATCAAAAGAGTAAAAAATAAATGCACGAAGATCTTATTTATAAAATAAATATTACAGAAAGGATTAGTGTAAAAAGGCCCCTGTACTCCATTTAAGCAGCCGGAGCAGGAACGCAAACTGAAAAGACTTCACGGATGAACGGGCAGAACTCATGGGTAATCGGATGTCCTGCCAGAATGAACTTTGACCCAGGCCATGCCTAAGTAGCTGTGACACAGATGCTATTCTGTTGCTGAACAAAGCTGACTGGTGGCCCTGTACTTAAAAGGGTGGCCGGCGGACCTCCAAATGCAAACGCCACATTAAAGTAATGCCGAGTAAATAATTCAGACCCAAAAGTCATAACAATCTCTCAGATTATTCAATTAAATATTTACACGGGTTGGAGAAAAAATATTCCAAACACAGCACAGAGATTTGTCCTTTTCTGTTATTGTGGCTGCTGCCGTGAGATGGCCACGTCAGTTTACCTTTCTGCATAATTAGGCAGAAAGCCTGCATCCCAGGTCACTGCTGCCCTCTCTCTCACGGCCAGGCCTGTTGCTGGATGGGAAACACTTGGCTGTGGAGGTGCTTTTGCTATTGCACCAGGTTACGTGGGTGTGGAGAGAAGTACAAATTCAAACCCGTCCTTAAAAGTCGTAATTAGTCCAAGAATCCTAACCAGAGCTTAATCCTTATACATTTTCTTCACAGAATGGAAGAGACCCCCTCGTCAATGCTGAAATCTGAAGCCTGTCCCTAATCTCTTCCATATGGTTTGTCCAGGGGATGTCTCATTCAACACATCCCCCTGTGTCCTTCTGTTAAATGAGAACTTGGACCTCGAAGTGGCAGAAAGAGATCAGATTGGCTGGTGTCCCTCCAGTTTACAAGACACTGGGGCTGCACTGGGAGGCCCTACCCTGCCTCATACAGAGCTCTGTTATGTTGGGGGGGACAGTGTGGGCTTGGGATGCCACAATGCCTCTAGCATAGCTGTCTAACCATTGCTGAGAGTCGAATCTAGTAGGAAATGAACAAAGGGATTTTCTGAAAGAAGAGACAGCTGAGAACCACATCAAACAGAAAATCTAGGTGTGAATGGTTTGAGGTTAGACACATCTAACACCAAACTTCAGATACTGTGCAATAAATAAATGAACCACATATAATTGCAACCAAATTTACCAAGATATTATCAGGAAAATTAGAAACAGTTTTTGACAAATGCACTAACACTGTATTTTAAAACATTGACATATAATAGATATGATAAAGTTATTACATGGATTAACATTTGCAATTTAATAGGATCGATCAGCAGGGGATTTTACTGTAGAAGTAACAGACTACAATGCCAATACAAATTACCCATCTGCAATATACACTTTGTAGCAAGTTGCACATGGGATCTTGATGGACTCTATCCCATTCCTCTCAGTGCCTGTTCAGGAGTCTCTAACTTCTATACGTCGATCAATGGAGCTCAAGACCGACGGGTAGGGCATAACTGTCACCTTCTCAACATGCAAGAGAGCAGCTGTTAGATAGGCAGCACAAGGGGACACACAGTCCTATCGCAATCCTGTCACTTCAAGATGAGCCTGTAGGAAGGGCAGTAAATGAGGACCCTGGACTTGATCAACCTAGCATAATGCTGTCACACTGACAATCACTACGAGCACATTTTAACAGCGACTAGACCCTATTGCCCCAGCAAACATGCGTGGACCTCCTTATTGAATGGTCTGCTGTACACAACAATCAACATATTAATCTGTATATCTATGCCATAGTCACGGTCATCTATCAGATTGGTCAATACTAAATCTCAGCTCATCACTAATTACGACTAACCGACAATTAAAAAAAAGTCTCTCAGTCTCTTAAAAACTGTGCGTATTGATTTCTTTCAGATTTTTTCCTTTCTCAATTACATCATGCTTGACGTTGAAGAGATTAAACCACCTCATCATCTTTACCCAAACAGCTCTCACCAGTGGCATGATTTAGTGGCCATGAAAGACCAATCAATCAAACTGAGCCCACAACCATACGCTCAATATCCAAAGCCAGTCAAACTCTATCAAAAACATACATGCGCAGATTGATGCTCTGTAGTAACATTAACAATGCAAGGAGGAAGTCGTTGGGTTAAATCTGGTGCGTTAAGCTGGCAAAATAACAAGAACGAAAAACATATTCCGGCATTGCTATCCCTTCTCACTTACTTCTTGATGTGCGCCAGGGCTGTGTTATTGATGAAGAGCATGCGTGACAAATTAATGGAGGGACCTAAGGATATCACCAGGTTCTCCACTTCCTGGATGCCCTTGATGTCTCCCTTGGCACCGAGGGCTTGAACCAGGCGGGTCACGGCCAGCGGGGAGGGCACCTGCTCGGCCTGCATCATGGTCTTCAGCGAGTCCAGTGCATCTGCGGTCAGACAGGGGACAGCGGGCTGAGCAAATCTCAGCAGTAATCAGACCAGACCCAGATCTGACACCTCTTAACGCACTGCAGCAGGCTGTGTGCATCACATGTAACCACCAGGGTACGGCACCCCCAGGCACATTTAAAACACCCCGATTTTATTCAGTCTGAATTGCAGATTGCCATTTTTGGTTGAGAGCGAAGCATTTGGAGTAGGACTTTTTAAGGGTACCCCCTAAGAACTTACGTTTTATTGCTTCATCTGGTTTTCTTCTTTTCGGAAGCAGTGCAAAGGATTGTGGTTTCGTTAGTCATCCATGAGAAAAGCATAGGTTACCACCGTGGCAGATGTCTCATCCGGGATACAGTGTCAATGGTCTGAGCAGTGTGTTATAACACTATTCATTTTTGGCCAATGCCAAAGATGCAGAATGATTCAATGATAGGAAGCAATAGCTTTTAACAATGCCACAATTTTATGTAAGATCATGTACAATGTTAACTGGAGCAAAGAGATAATAAAACAATCCACACATTTTTCTCGATATTGGTGGCATACATGCTAAGAGGTGCACTGCACAGAGGATTTCAGTTCTATCTTGAATTTACAATCTCAAAATGTAGAGTTTTAGAGAAGCACAAACAGGCTAGTTATTGCTTCCAACAACACACCAGCATTTACTGTCAATATTGCAATCAACGTCTGTTCCTAGCATTTGTTTTAAGGCAATTTAACCTATTTCAGTGCCCTAACTTGCCTCAGCCCTTAACTGTTCCCTTTCATTCGCAATAACCTCTCAATCTCTCCACAAATCTTCAAACTTTTCTGAAGACAGGGAAGATTTTGAAAGCACTCAAACACCACCCCTTCTCTGAACATACTTTGCATGTCTAAGGAGATATGCAATTTTATCTTAAAATAATAATAACAATAATAATAACAATAATAAAAAAAGGCAGCCGCTTATGTTAAATGGAATGGAAACTGGACTAAGTGGCCAAATGACAAGTGCATTCATATTCAGGCTTGTATTATAAATGCATGTACAGTAATTTATGTCTCTCAGCTCCACAAAAGCCTCTTGATAAGCAGGTAATTTGCTAAATGGACTCCTTTATGGGAAGATGCGCAGGGCGGTGCAGGATTGCGTCTTAGAGAGGCATTAATGTGGCGCGGAGGTCAAACATTGCGACCTACCTTTCACTTGATCCCGTTTCACAAGAGTGACGATAAGGAGACTGCTGGCTATGTCACTCAGATTGAAGCCTTTGATTCGGGTTCCAGCGCTGGAAGAAACAGACATTTCCAAAGGAATTACTGACATACATCTGATATGATAATAAATGGTTGAGCAGCAGGGTGAAATTAGACAAGAAAAAACAGAATACCAAATAGCACGTTAAAAAATATCAAGCGCCGAGTGAATGGAAGGAAGGAGACAGCCTTTGTGTTCTCCTGTCAAACTGTTACACTTTCTTTCTCTTTTTAAAAAAGTCTCCCCCCCCGTCTCTATTTTGTATGTTGAGATCTGGCTCTCTGTCTAGAGAACAAAGAAAGAATTAAAGCAGAGCTTGGGGTTCAGTGAAGGGGGGTGAAGAAAAGTGCCACTGCGTTGTCATTTTCGAAGGGAAAAGGGTTTTTCACCGTTTCAAGTGATGAATTAAAAACAAAGATGGGTTTCACAACAGAACCACAGAAAAAAAAATGGAAGACGCAAAACTACATCTTTAACAAAAACAGCTCCCTTCACTTCAACAAACTCATATTTTAGGACAAACTGCCACTCCGGGGGTACATTGGGCATGGATAATAATTTCAGAGACAATGGCATGATATTGCTGACTATCCCCGGACCTCCCGGCAAGATTTAACAGACACCAACCAGGCAGACCAATGAAAAGCCAGAAGAATGTCTGAGCCTTAGATCTCAGGGCCAAAAGAAGACAATGTCAGTGCTTGGTGGCAGTGAGGGGGTGAGGTGGGGTGTGTGGACAGTTAAAAGAAGCAGACCATCCTGAAAGCACAGCTCAGTAAACAGAGGGAGGGAAAGAGCTAACCCTCAAGAGCTAAGACATAAGCGTGAGTGAAAGATCTTCAACCAGTTGAGAGTGCAGCACTGACCTACACAGGCCAGAATGATACTGACACAAACAGTGAATGCTGAGCTGCTTAAAAAAAAAGGGCCAGAAAGCAGCAAAAGCATAACTCATTTTCTTCTCTTCAGGCCTGTCAGTTTAACACTCTGAGAAGGAAAGAGATTTCAGTATAGGCAGCAAAAACCTCAATCAAACTTTTTTTTGTTAACCAAAATCTCTTTGCAGATTAAGTCGGGGCGTTCAACTGAGCAGCAGCCTGCCTCCTTATCCGATAACGCTGTGTCCGGACCTAGAGGCAGCTGAACAGCTTGCCACATAAGCTGGGGCCAGTGTCGAATTATTCTTATCAATCCCAAGAAAATCCTGTCCATCGGCCCCAGTAAGGGTATCCTCTTGAGTCACTTAGGCTCTGCGGGCTTACTACCGTTGTCAGAGCTGGCTGATGGATTTCTGCTGCCCTCTCCTAGCAATCCTCTTAATCTGCCCATAAGCACCCCCATTGCTCAGTTCTGATGTCTCCTCAGCCCATCTGCCCAAAGCTCTTTAAGTCGCCAATTCAGATATGAGACTGTATTACACACACATGGGAATTATTACTTGGGCCTCTGTCTTTGAAACTTTGCTTTGATTAAAGTCATGTTCAGGATGTCATAGCACTAATCTGCAACTCCAAAATAAATCAAAATAAAAGGAGGGGAGGGGAGAACTCATGTTGCTAAAGCTGGTACGCAATTAAAAAAAAATGAAAACAATGAGAACACTTTCGCTTACACCGGGGTTTAAGAAGAAGTTACTCTGCATTCAGAGATAATCAGGTTTGTATTATAATATAGTGAGGCTTAAAGCCACTGTTGGTTTTTAGAGGTTTATGGATCAGCGATCAGTGGAACAGTTTTGTTTCAGAACTAATGCGATGTGACACAAAGGATACGTTACTAATCTGCAGAAGATGTTATTTTTGTGCAGCAAAGCACTTCTCGGAAAATATATTTTATCTGCTATATTTAGATCAGATAGGCTTTAAAACTACTCTTGAGAGTTTTGCATCAATTTTACAGTCTATTCTTTATCATAGTCTTTACTGAAGGGCATCAGTATTCCAAGAATTAACGTTTTGTAACACTGGGACGTGACAGAGACGTACAAAACACGTTCTAAATCTCACTGCCTTCTAAAATCATAGTATTTATAGAAATTTAAGCTTCTTTTGCAAAATATTTTGTCTTGTGGATCCTAACCACATTATCTATCCACTCTCTATCGACATTAGGAGGTGTGTTTGACGCAAACTGTGCCTGCATGCTAGTGACGGTGAAAGCCATTGTGTTATCCATACGAATTAGTCTTAAAGACTTTGTAAGAAAAAGCTTGCACTCAACAAAGTTTAATAATAACAACCTTAGACAATGTCAGCTAAAAGGTACCACGAAAAAGAAATGATCTCACATGAGGACTCACATTTCTTTGACTGTCATGGCATACTCCAGGTTTCCCTCAGCCAGCAGGCTTTTGAGAAGGTTGTTGTAGGCAGCGGGGCTGAAGACCAGGCCTCTCCTGTCAGCGTCCTGAAGAATCCTATAGGCCTCTGGAAATGAAACAAAGAGATTGAAAGATGACCCACAGCTGTTAAAGTTGGGAACAGTGCAAAATGATTCCTTGCATGACAAAGGAAAATACAACTAACGTAAAAAAATGGAAATGTAGATAAAAAATAACTGTTTGCAGAAACTAAATCATAACTAAAACTGAGTTAGCCAGCACCTAAGGGAGTGTCAGCATGCTTTTGAACTGACAGCAAAGATGTAAAAAAAGCCATTGGAGCAGAAGCTGGGCATATCTTAAAAAACTGCCCTAGCTTTCTAGATGCATTTTCTCCAGAGGAACTGTGTAAAATGCACCTTCTTTTTTTCTGGAGTTTCAAAAAAGTTAAATTCTTCAGTGCAAGCTGAGTGGCAGCTCTCAAAGGGAGAATCCATTGTAAAGTAACACAGAAACCACTCTACTGCTTTTCTGCCAGGTGGTGTCAGTCCCACTGAATTGGAATTAAGCATTCAGCTGTTCAATGTAAATGATTAAACTTGTACGGTTATTATGATGACTGTAATTAAACTGTCTATAATTCTTTGTTTTTCCTACCTTATGTAACATGAAAGAATAATAAAACAGCTTGACAAGGTGTATAAACATGAACTACTACTTTTCCAGTGCACAACACCGGGAGGAAAATTACACTACAATTACTAAACTGATCCATAGTAAAATGCAAAACATCTTTAGCCCTAATTATTAAGCATGCAATGGAACCGATTAAACTAAATATGAGATACTGAGATGATAAGCCTGTAGAAAATTCCAGTTTACATGCTCCTTTTCCTTATTTCCTCTCAAATGTGAAATAACAACAACAACTGTAATGCATGCATGACAAAAAATGTTTGATTTCTTGATTGAAAGCATTTTGGTTTGAATGATGGACCGTTTCACCTACTGCAAAGGTCTAAAAATCACCTGGCTGTGCCCACAGTTTGTAACGTGTAAGGACTGTAGAATGTATTTCTCAGTTGAGATCCATACAAAACAATGCAAACTAACAAAAGTTTATTTGACCAAACAAACCAAACCATATATACTCAGTTTAAAATGGTAGCCTATTTGGGTTTTGTTTTACAACTGAGAGTACAATGCATGAGAAAGCAGAAAAGCATTACACGTGCTTATTTGAACTCATAAACAGATATTTATTAATGTATGACAAGCATCGAAATAAATTTCCTCTTCATTTTCAGAACAATTACCCTGTTGTTGGATACTGCTTAAAAGGTTTGAAGTGATTTTGATTTATCATTATTGACTGACCATGATGTGTTTTGAGAGTTCAATCACAAGCATCTTTTCACTTCACTAGTAAAATATTTGATTGGGTGAATAAGTGAAGAGGTGATTTAACCTATTAAAATGTAAAACCTGGTTAATATCAAGAAATATACAAAAAGGAACCACTATACCTAGCTTTTCAAGATAGAATTAGCTTGATGGAGGCTAGACTAAGTTAGAGCACCTCACCAAGACAGATGGGGTGGTCCAAGAGTGATGGTCTGGACAGGAGAGTCTAGCTGTGATGGAACTAGTACTGGCTGATGGCATTATTTTGTGCACTGTGAACTTTGCATTTACACAACAGTTTCAAGAAGTTATTTTCAACATAAACCGCATTCAACATAAATAAAATGCCACTTTTCTTTCTCTCCTCTACTGTTCCACTTTGTTTTTCGGCATGCAATGTACATTAACCATCTGCACAAAGAAAGGAAAGTACAGGTACAGAGATCACCATTCTCTAACCCCCCACACAGCAAATGGAACAGACCATTATTCTCTTAAATGTGCTGTTGATTTTTGCAGAGGGCACTGCCAGTGTACTGTCGGGGAGTGCCTGGGAGGGAGCAGAAGAGGAGTGGGATTAAGATCATACCTTTGGCCTTGCCCCTCTTGCAGAGAGCCAGCAGGCGGTGCTGGTAGTCACTGGGGGAGTCCACAGGGAAGGGGCTGGCTGTGCTGGAGCTGTTGCTCTTTGCGTCAAAGTCTTGGGATTTGCTGCCATACTCTGCAGCCTCTTTATACCATGCCTGAGAGATCACATGACAAAAACCACCAAGAGATCAGTCTCCCTGGCTCTTTTGGAGCAATGCCGCGCTGCAGTATGAGATGAACCCCATGTACCGACAGTCACTGCAGGCCCTTTGTCTTCCAAGGCCGCTCCTGGTCCTTCAAGTTCTGTAGGTCATGAATGAGTGCACTGCGCAAAGCGACAAGTTCCAGGCCGACCTTGATTGTCTTAAACCTAGTGCCACACCAAAAGGTGAGCACTGCCATGGTTACCACAAGTGTATCACTCTTTCCATCACTGCTGGAAACCGTTCACAATTCTGTTTTTAAAGGATTTAAGAAAACCAAAAATGCGGCACGCTCTTGTAAGTGCAAAGCAAAAGGTTGTATGTTACTTTGTCTAAACAGAAGTGGAGATCTTGAGGTCAATCAGTTACAGCAAGTCCATGAGACCAAGCAACGCACTGCAGACCTTGAGATATTACAGACCGGGGAATTGACACATGCTTGACCTAAGAGAATGAAACTGCATGAAATGCTTGCAAGTTGTTAATTCCCTGGTTTGTACTTAAAACTCTGTCCATTCCAGTCATTTGCTGGCTACGGATGCGACAGAGTGATAAACATATGGTGCAATTTAGCAGTTTTGAACTAGTGAGGATAAAAGACCTGCTTATTTCCACTAAATATCTGGATTTCCCCTGATCAGCTCCAAATCCAATATTCCACCCTTAATAAAAACACAAGGATTTTTAAACCAGACCAGCGCCAGCTGTAAACTGAACGTCACGCGCACTGGGAAAGAAAGCCAGCCGACAAAAAACCCTTGAGAAAGCAAATCTAAAAATGAACTTACTTGGCGTTCTTATTTAAATCAAACAAAAAACCATTAGTGTCTACAAAACATCGTAAAAGGTCTCTTTGACAAAAGATGTCAGAGAATTAAATCTAATATTAAAATGAAAAAGTAAGTTTATTATGCAAAGGAACAAGTAAAGGTTTATTCCACTGAAAAGAGAAGAAAAGAAACACAACGTTTAGGCTGTGGGGCTGAAATATTGTGTTTCTTTGGTTCTCTTTTCAGCAGGGAATAAACCTTTACTTGTTCATTTGCAGCCTAGGCCTGCTGATGCAGCTGCCTACTTCAACTTATTATTAACCCAAATATCAGTCTGCGTATCTTACAGCTACCTACTGCGGGAGTACACCACTTTGAGGCATCTTACAGTCAAAAAGTCCTGTTTGGAAACCACCTGTCCGGCTGGTTTTGGGAGCAGTCGTGGCGACTTTACCTCGGGCATATCGAAGGGAACCTCCTGGCCGTTGCTCTTCAGGATGTCGGCCAGCAGGCAGAGAGTTCTCTCCCGCGGGATCAAATTCTCCTCCTGCATCTGGGTCCAGGTGGCCTCAGCCCTCCGCCAGTCGTTGCTTTCCTCTGAGAACGAGACACACAAAGCATGTGGATCCACCCTCCAGACCCAGAGATCTGCCCCACTGCTCATGCAGCTCCAGCCTCTGGCCTGCTGAGCCAATCAGCCTTTTCACAAATGGTTTAATTTGATTTAAAAAGCAAAAGCAAGTGCATATGCTTGTTTAACGAATAACGATAGAAATTGCTTTCATGTGCCTAACCCTTCCAAGCTCCATTTTATTTTACTGACATCCGCTCTGCGAACCAAGACTGAAAATCAGCTGATGCTATTCCATTGGAGACCCACAGGCTTTGACTTCTCTCCAATAATGTAGCATCTCTTTAAATTCCACTAGTTCAGTACACAAAGCAGGTCATGAACAAGGTCAAGAGCAAGGCCTTCCACAGCAGTGACACCAGGACCAGTCGGGCAACTTACTGCACAGGCGGAGCATGTAGTGGTACATCTCGTCTCGATCACACTCAAACAGCTTCTGAGTCATCTCGACCATGTTCTCTAGGGCCTCAACCTGCCGGAGAAACGAGACGGCACTCACAGCTCTTTGCAGGGGTGACAGACCTTGACAAGGCACCAAATAAAACAAGCTCTCTGGCTGAGCCTCTGCACTGCACAGCCTGGTGCGGCGCTGGTGTCTGGGGACAGATTTTATCACTGGAACTAGCACAATGTTAACATAAAAAACCAGCAGTACGTCACACATACTCGAAGGGCAGTTTCTCTCAAGTGTCAGCTGCTGAAGGCACAGGTGTTTTGTCCCTATCCTAAGGATTTGCGTAAGTGGTAAGTAAACCTTTAATGATGCTAAGTGTAGGGCACCGGAAATCTTTTAGATTTCCTCAAACTAGGAGTTGGCTTTTCCTTCCAGGAGAAGCAGTGAATGTGGCAGTAGATGCTTTCTGACCACGGCCCCGCCTGTTGCTGGGCTGCTGCGATGTGCAATGTCCGCGGTGCGTGTATGTTCCTGTGTGCAGGTCCCAGTGTGTCTGGACCCGCTCATGCCGGAATGAGAATGAGACTTCACCTGATTGGTGGCGATGCACTTCTCTGCGTACCACTGCAGCCGCCCCGGTCGTGACCTCAGGCCAGGGGTCTGCAGAGAGACGGACAGCTCTCAAATCAGAGTCACCTGCACTCACATTGTGCTGCTTTGACTCCTGTTTACATCTCCTCCGTTGCAATTAACCCAATATACCATTGCATTTCATCTCATCACTTGCTTGGGAACACGTCAACCTGGAAATCACTACTTCAACATAGCTTAAAAAGATTTTAGAGCATTTAGAGCAAACACTACAAGTATTCCTTTATTAGACTTCATGTGAAATCAGACACCAGAAGAATGGTAATGTATGTAGTGAACAGTCTAACACTTTGTAACTCCAAATGTACTATAGTGAAGAAAAAACAGTTAGCTACTAACGAGTTCCTTTAGTGAGTCTGTAGGCAGGAAACCTAAGTGTGCCATTGATTCACTGCAATTACAAAGGCATTTGAAAGATAAATATTCATTGTGACTTGGTATGTGGAAAGAAGGCCCTTTAAAAAGTATTTATTGCCTGTAAAGCATCTCATTGTGAGGACTTGTTTAAGTCTGAGCCAGAGTGAATTGAATACATTAAACAGCCTCTCAGCAGCACTAGAGTGTTGTTCAGCAGTTGCGTCCAGGTTGTTTAAATCACCCATCACATTTGACTCGAACTGGGGGTCAAAAGCTCTCCTCTGTTAGCTGGGCAACATTTGATTCCATGCTGCGGCACTTCAGCACAAAGGAATAATTACACCCCTGGATACAAGTAAGGGTCATTAAAATCTGCTATTGTTTGTAGCTTTTGGTGTTATAAGCCCCTCTCTCCTTCTCTACGTGTGCTGTGCAGTAAGTGTTCACAGAGCCACTGCACAACACGAGGAACTATGAAAGATGGGCCACTAACACACGGGAGTCATGGGCTCGTTCGTTGACTGTTCGGCTGAAGGAGAAAGCAAATGTTAAAAAGATGGAGGCCGATAACATAGCAACATAGGTCAAAGTCAGTACCAGAGTTGCCAGTATCAATGTTGCAACACTGAAGGTCAATAATAGATAAATGTCTTTTTGTTATTACTTCTGAATAGAAACAGAAGTTAAAAACAACTAAGACAGCCTTCATCAAAATACACAGGAATATTTGGCATACGTGGAAATGCACAGGTTAAAGGTAAGTAAGATTATATCTCAAACAACCTTTTGATACAATCTGGGAATGGGAGAGGGATTAGTACAGCTTTCAAGATTTTATCCAGGCAACACTCAATTATAACCAGAATTTAAGGACTCTTCCTTCATCAGTTCTCCATACTGTAATTTGTCAATAGTAAAATAGTCTTATGTGAATCTCTCCCGCTGATTGCATGTGTGATGCACAACTGCATTAAGAATAGCAAATAATGCCTGTAATGCTATAAAAAGATGCCACTGACATTAAAATCTTATACAACAAGATCCTGGACAAATTAAACATTGTTCTGGTCTCCATCACATTTAATCTACTCTGAACTAGACAAAGTGCAAAGTGGTACATTTTCCTTACAACTTTCAAAATCTCCTGCCCGCCCCACACCACTGATCTAAGCCATGAAACAATCTTCACCTTGCAAATCTGCTGGGCGATTATTGTGTCACAGTGGGGATCACAGCTCCCAAAGCCGATAGTCCTCGTTCTCATTTGCGGATCCAAGATCTGTTTTCACTTACAACAGCTCCAAATCCTCAAGGGGACATCTAGGTCAGATAAAGACAATCTCCCTGCCTCCACTTTCAGGACTTCCACATCGCTCTGCCTAAAAGAATACTAACTCTGGACAACCTCTAAAACAGCATAGATAGGCCTCAACCTTTCATTGCATAAGGCAATGTCATTATTAAAAATATTGATCACTCTAGAAATATTGCTAACTAAAAACCCCACATAAAGTCTGTTTCCATTTAATTATCTGAAGCACAACCAACCAATTACATTGTTCACTTTTAAGTGGGAAGTCAGAACCTGATGGCAAACTATTTTTAAAAATAATATTTAGCACTGTTAAAACACAGGCACCGAGCATTTAAGGTGTGATGTAATCTGGAATGAAAGTTTCCTGCACTAGATTTTTTTTTAAACCTCAGATATCAATTGTTTTAATTGAGCCCATTTTGTATCCACAAGTGTTGCAATACAGAATGAAATGTAGCCCAGCTAAATAAGAACAGCTTTTGACCTTCTGCGCAAGTCAAACATGATGCGTGCTTTTAAAAACCCACCTCTCTGTGGCTCAATGAGTGCTCTATTAAAACAAAAGTTTTTTCAATCAAAATAATTATGTATGCTTAGTAAGTTTAAAACCAACACAAAACCACTTTAATCACAGAGCAGCACATAAGAAGAGATCACAAAAAAACATCTGAAAAGGCAACAAATCTAAAAATTATATTTTGTACTACCAATTATATTAAGGTTTAATGTTTTTGAATGCTTATAATATTTCTGACTATCTATAAAAAATTGAGCTATCCTGGAACTAGCTCCAAAATCCAAAATGTTAAACACTACACTCTGCACACACTCAGCTAGTTCCAAAAAGGATAAGTAAAGTGGTCTTTCACACTGGACAGTTGTGGCACATATACCTCCATATTATAAACGGCTGTATATTTCAAAATATACAGCCAGAGAAAGCCCTTTAAGTAACAAAGCAGATAGAAATGAAACTCTTCAAAGACTAATGACACCACACATATTAAATTAACTGAGGAAAAACAGCTGAAAAGAGATTTGAGTTTTAAAATAAAAAAAGAAGGGAAACAAATGAAAATCTGGTACCAAAGACTGCACATGCTTTGCTTTTAAAATCACTCCTGACTTTTGAAAACATGGCTATTCTTTTACAGGCCTAGTATTTTTTCAAGATTCCAAAAAAAACCTGATACACGCAGATTAAATGTGTGACCATACAGCTGAATGAGTGAAAAAATGCATTCAAGAGAAATATATTTCTTTCTACCTTCATTACCCATAAATACAGCAGGGAATTGTACTGGTCAATCAAGTGAATTACTGTGCCTTGCTCACGGGGCACAACAGCAGTATCCTGAAAATTTGCAAATAGGAGAGACATTTTAAAATAAATAAGAATCTGGGTGAACATATAAACTCTCCGTTTTAGAGGCTATGAAAACTTGCACTTCCTGAAACAATCAAACCATATCATGGAATGTGAACATCCCTTCAGAAGAAATATTACTTTGCATTACAGGAAAGTTATATTTTACTTCTTTGAGCTATGTGTACAGATTGGTTAAAACTGTCCTCCAGAATGCAAAAAATTAGTGTAATTAATAATGTGTAACCATATTAAATCATTTAGAGATCCTGACAAATAAGGAAACCTATGTACAATTACATTGATAAATACATATGAACTCCTTAAAGTACCCAGACAATGTGAATTGGTCATCCCTACCATACAGGAAGTATGTTACGGCATGCACCCATAAACCCTTGTGGAATAAAAAGAAAGATTTAATGTATGTAGCTATGTCTGTAGGAGCCCATGATAGCTTATCTTGTAATCTAGAAACACTAAGCCAGATATGCAAAATTATTTCCTTCCTGCATGTATTAATGGGAGTAAATCACACTGTTACATATCAAGTGACAACCCCTTGCTCCGCCTCCTCACGCACTAACATTGTCTTATCCTAAGATGCACATTTGTTTCATTTGCTGTTTTATAATAAGGCTTGGTGTCACCGTAACCACTACCATCATCATAATAATGAAGCAATCTGGAGGAGATTAAACTCTTCCACTGCCAGTCAAGAACCAAGGTGTATAAGGACAGGACCATCGCTAATATCCAACCAACAACTATGGGTTAATGTTTAGTTGGTTGTAAAATGTTCATAAAAATGAAAGTCAATTTTTTTGTGTATGAATGCAATAATAAAAGAATGTAAGATGGTGAGACTGATCATCAGAAGATGAGCATCCTTGGTTGTTGTCATAAAAACAGAGTAAGCATTTATCCTTTGCATCCCAGCCTTACTAATCAATATACTGCACAAAGTGATACTGCAATAAAAACAATAACACATTCTTGCCATCAGCTGGTACCTCACAGTCCCAAGTGCACTAAAACAGTACACAGACTTCAAGCACTGCCTCCATTCCAGCACACTTTACAAGCACAATAGAATTTAAAACTTCAGCAATAGAAAAGAAAGCCGCCTGGCAATTCCTAAGGTATCTAAAAAAAAATTAGATCCCACATTACGCAAAAGGTTAATCAGTTAACCAGAGTTAATTAACTAGCAACAAAGGCGGCTTTAAGCACCAGCCACTGTGGGAGAATGTGTGCTACAACACAACAGAGAGAGAAGCGAGGTAAGGGAATTCAGATTAGCAATTACGTAGAATCTTGAAGTAATTAAACATTTGAATGTAATTGTGGCAGGAATGTCAATTTAATTGGAATTAGGACAAAAAATAGCTTTTGGATTCAGGGGATTTTGTATGGTGTAGATACTAGTTGATAGGCGCATTCACTGATGTGTGGATAAAGAAATGCAGAAATACAACTCTGTCAGGGAAATGGAATATACAATTTTAACATGGCAGGACCAGCTTCCTGATAAGCTGGGAAGAAATTCCGATGAAATCTGACAGCAAAGCATCACCCTGTGAATATCACTGTATAGTCTCTCTCCTGACACATCTGCCCCTTCTCGTATCGACCCTTTCAGGTGAAACTGGGACTCAAGGAAACATCCTTCGGCTTCTCCCCCCAGTGGTGTCTGATGACTTGTCACCAGAACTGTGAAGTGATCATGTACAGTAAGGGCAGGAGCTATATCAAGCAAAAGCATCTTCGTGTACCATATGTTTTGGGATTACCAATCGCACTTGCCATATATATAATGCAGCAGTGCTCAGCCTCAGCCCTGGAATTCTGTTTTATTCCAAAAATGCTCCGATTAGAAATTGCTTAAGAAGCCTAACCTCTACTTGCTTGTTCTTGTGAAGACCCTTTTAGGGACATTGTTCTCTAAAGTTAAAAAGTTGGAATAGTAATTACCATTAACCCTATACCAGTTTATGGATTTCAAAACTCCCTTCATTCAGGTATCTAGAATATAAGCAACTGGACATCTGCAGAACAAAGAGCCCTTGTTGTGGGAGTTTCATATAGAATCACTCCCACCTCTGTCTGGACATTATTACTGCTCACCAATTAAGTGTTGTTCAGACAGCAATAAGGGTTCAGTCTCTTCACTTGCAAGTTGAGTTTCTTGGCAACAACAACAGAGAATGTTTTTCAAGCCAACTACAGAAACAGGTTAAAAAAAAGGTCTAATCAAGCAAGCTATTCAATGAAAGAGAACAATTAGCCTAATTGTAAAGCTTGTTGACACAAAAGCTGAAGAGGGTAAAAGACCAGGGTCAGCAAGAGATATAGATCCTGACATTACAAGAAGTCTATGAGCACTGCAATATAGAAACAGCCGACAGGAAAGAAGAAAAGCCATGAAAGTTTTAAAGAAAATAATTCTGAAGGCAATAAAAAAACAAGGTTATGGGAGATAGTTCAGCAAACCACATTTAATGAAAATTTCAGACATACAAAGAAAAGCGCTTCTCCTTTTTCCAAGAGGTAATTATTTTAAAGCAGGAATAAGCGAGTTAAAATGGACACATTTTCTGAGGGATCTGTGACCCTGAGTCAAAACTCTATTGTGCCGACCTCTATGTTAATACTTCAGGGTCTGAGACTACTCCGCAATATCTGCTGGGAGAGAAGGGGCAGCCAGCGGGGCTGGGCATTTTGAGAAGCAGCGTGTGATGGCGAGATTGATAGCTCACTGACAAGTGCAAAGAAAAAAAACTGTCTACTTGAACTAAGCACTGAAAAGACAGAGCAGCAGTTAAAGCTGGGGGCTGCACTGATGTTGGGGGTGATAAAACAGGCTAGAATATTCTAATCCAGCCAGCAGGAAAAGACACACAGCCACTGGAAAACAAACCGCAGACCGTCTGTGCATCTCTTTTACTGCCTCCCCAAGCACCCTACCCCACACAAGCTTCTATTAACCTTACAGCAGACAGCAGCCAGGACTCATTCCCCTGCTTGAGCTGTTCAAGCCTGTTTTCATTATATTCTACAGCTCTTAATACGACCCTGCACTTTGGGTTTTAACTGAACCAGCTGTTGGCATCTTAAAATCCTTGTGGCAATATGAAGTGTCAGAGCAGGATTGCATTCTGTAATTGGGGCAGGGAGTCTGCAGCACAGGGGCGAGATTCAGCACAGCCATGAGAACGGGTCCTTCTAGCGCCAGTCCTATATACCAGATCTTAGCAATGATTTTAAGACCAACTGGCAAAACCAGTTAAACTTAAATCACTGTTGAATCCTAAGTGAAGATTTTATCTGGAATATGCATGCACTAGTGCTTTCAGTTTGGGTTGTTAACCTTGACACACCTTAACCCATTTGCTTGTTATCGAACAGTATCGTCCACTGAGAACTCAGACCTTCCCTGCTGAACCAAAGTTTCCAAAGTAGTCTCTCACTGTTCATACTCTGGGTGCCCAAGTGCTAAACAACTACTTGTTGAATTATCATTGCCGAATGATAATTAGATAATCCTAAGCACTTTCTAATAGTGTACTACAACCAGTAGCCGTAGCAGAAAAGCATCCATTTAATCTCAAGAAATCAAGAAAGGGGAAAGTTTGGTTGAAATTCCCTCCCAGTCTTTTGTTCTCATATTAAAATGAATCTACCTTACAATAAATAAGAACAGCAATGCCGATATTACCAAATGAACATCAACACTACAAGCAGTAGAGTACCCCGACTCGTCCTCTGACGTCACAGGACAGGACTCCCAGTCTTAAAGATGGATGTGTGGTCAAGACCCAATCCTTCACGAGCACTCCCATCTCCAGCTCAGACACAGGAAGACGGAGCCTACCCGGCAAGCAACAAACACAAGGCAGGGAACACCCTGGACAGGGCGCTAGTCCATCGCAGGGCAAGTGCAAGAATTTGGCCCCAGACACCGGGATACTGCCTACTCTTATCGAGAAACGCCCGGGGATCTTTAAAGACCACCGGGAGTCAGGAGCTCGGTTTAACATCTCATCCGAAAGACAGCGCCCACTACAGTATAGTGTCCTTGTCACTATACCGAGGTATTAGGACCCACACAGACCACAGGGTGGGCACCCCCCACTGGTCCCACTAACACCACTTCCAGCAGCAACCATAGCCTGCATGCATACAGTTCTCTCAGACCACCGGCACTGGCAGGTGAGAAGTGAGCTGATTCCACTTTCATCTCCGACTTTCTCTCTCGTCTCAAAGCTGCCTTCCCCCTGGAAGTGTAGGACGTGATTATTTTTTCCATGTCCAGTAATATCCACTTGGGGGCTTGTTGGTCATTTTAGTAGTCTGTTTTAAGCTCCTCACTTGAAAAGGGGCAAACAGGCCAAGCCTGAGGACAACGCACACTAAGAATAATATGTGCAAAGGGTCAGGACACTCGAGCCCTTCTTGACTTCTTATCAATATCAACAAATCAAAAAATCTTAATCAAGGGTAGATAAACTATACTAATCCTCAAGGGGTAACGTTGTCACCTAAAGCAATCTGCTAAGCTGCTTAGGATATTAAAGGCAAGAACAGCCTGGTTTAATATAGTTTTATGCAGTACAGGGGCAGACAGTGCTTGTTTAGCTGATTTGCCTGACAAGCAGCCTTGTAAACAACCTGAGCTTTGACTGCTTGACAGAATTCAATTCTGCTACCCCCCCTGCCCCCCCCCCATCCCATCATCCCAAGAAGAGGCCACAATAAAAGACTCCCAGGAAAAGAGGATTAACACCGCTGCAGGAAGGAACACCGAGGAATGCTAGCTTAATTCACCCCCACCACACACGCAAAAATGCAATCTGAAGATTTAATATGCAAATAAAAAAATGTGTTCTGTAACAGCTGCTTAACCTGGGAGCAGAGCAAAGAATGGGAATTCAATAAGGAGAAAAACTGGGCTCCAACTATTAATTATATAAGAGGAGAATAAAGGCCCCACTCTTCACTACCGGTGGCCAGGCAGTACCTAACTGCTGATCCCCCTCCTTCCAGCCCCCCGTTCTTTCTCCCTGGGCCCATTGTGTTGCATGAATTGCATTAGTTAGGATTTAGTCTAAATCTAATTTAAAGTCAAAATTATTACAGCAATCTAATTAAGGATTTAAATAGCTATGTGCATCGGGCACAATAGCAGAAATCCCACCTCGATGATTTTGCGCGCCTCCTTGTATTTCCCAGTCTGCAGGAAGGCGAAGAAGAGGTCGTACAGCATTGTCATCTCGCCCCGCTCCTGGCTCACAAAATCCATCGCTGCACGCAGGAGCCACAGGGACACAACGAGAAGAAAACCACAGATCGAGCACGCTTTTTAAAGGGATTTTCATTTTAATTCTGGACGGCTAAGCTGACATTTTAACTGAACCCCCACAACTGGGGGCAGACTCCCCACATGTCGACGTTAAGCTCTCGGCCACTTAGATTTTGCTCACTTGTGCCAATGCCATGTTGAAATCAAGGGACATTTTCGATTTCCATTCCTCAGAGCCGATGACAAGTGCAATGTCCAACAAACATCATGTCGGATAAAGCAAATGTGTTGGGGTATAAGAAAGAACGAAAAGGAAAGATGGAAACTATAGTGACCCTTCAGGCTAATCTGTATGTTTAAGGGGATATTAAGACAGAACTCGAAGATCCACAATATTAGCAATATCAGCACATGCATTTTTCCTTTCATAAAAAGAAAAACGGGAGTCTGGATTGGTCTGAAAGAACACTACAATCCCACAAACACAACCGCACTGCGTGCTTTTACTATTTTTTTTAAACCTGCTAAAGTCTACGTTCCGTATCTGAATATTCCATGCCATGGAGCCGCTGGCGTTGATCCTGCCCCGGCGGCGGTGTTAATGGCTCTCGGCCGCTCAGTGAGAATGAGACGGTGAAGGGAAGGAGGTGTAGGGGGGGCTCAACTCCACTGATGAAGTGGGTAGAGGCACAGGGCAGGACTCAGTGGAGTATCAAACTGGACCTTGGGCACAGGACTGCACTCTCTCCTCAGTACCACAGCCACTTAGATAAGCTACACAAAGCACTCGACCCTTTTAAGGTCAGAGCTTGAAAGCAAACAGCCACAGTGCTTATGATAATCTAGCAGACAGTTCTGAAATGCAGGGACAACAGAACAAGCTGCTCCTTTATGCTATTACAGTCGAATTTGTTTTATTTTTTCTTTTGATCCAGTCTTTCCACTGCAAATATCGTGTCATGCATTTCAAACTTATGTACATACAACAATCTGCATCAACCCTAGGATTGATATCGGTTTAATGCAACCTATATTTCTACCTGTGTTTACATTTCCATCTGCTTTTTGCATAGAATTTCTCCATTTGTCCTGACCAGTGGTGAGCTCATGAGTCAAAGTGACAGACATGGCAGTATGCAGGACTAGCTGTTCCTTTCCTCTTAGTAGGTATTAAGTCGCCAGTTGTGAATCTAAGGTTAACCTGGTTGAGATTTCTGAAGAGAACAAAGGTGACATGGCTGGAGGACATTAGGTTATATGAATGGGTGATCTTGAAAGAAGCCTATAAAAGCTCACAGAGCAAGGGGCTACTGTGGTTAGTTCATACTCACCTTTCTGCAGGAGATCTGTGTCACCTTTCTCTACCAGCCCACACAACACATCATGAAAGCGAGGCATGTGGCCATAGTGCCTGTGGCAGTCCATTGCAGCGTCCAATGCAGACGATAGGTCATCCCTGCAGATATTGCGAAGACAAACGCATTATAAAAATGACCGTAGAGATAAAGACTTAAATTCCTTACCGATGTTAGAAAGTGCTAGGAGCAAAAGGTGGAATTCCCAAACAAAACGTAGGGAGATGTCAGAGGCATTCATTGAATTACCTAACAACATTAGAAAAGATGACTGGTTACAGCATCTTAAAATGTAGGACGCTTAGATTAACATTAGAGCAGCAATATAAAATGAGCAGGCATGAACTATATTGTATAATACATACACATGACGCTGCAGGAAATGTCTTAATCTGAAAAGGCTTAAGAAAAAAAACATGTTCAGTTTCTTTTACTTATTGAAAGTTAAAATAATATGAATGTCAGTTCTTGCCTATTAACACACGGTCTGTAAAAGTGCATGTCTGGATCTCAGTGCGCTGACTCCCAGATTGCCCTCATTTACTCCAGATCCCCAGCTGCGCAATTTGGCTGAATATGGCAACAGAATTAGGAACTTAAATACGCACTTCTCTCCACGCAGCTCTCATAATACGATGACAAGGTGATGGGGGAGACAAAAGGAATAAAACACTACTCCCATCTCTCTATTGTGACTGGGGAAGCAGGGAGAGGTTGAAAGAAGTGTCAGTCCTGTGATTGGGTAATTACAGTGCCAATCACACAAAAGGTCAAAGCAGACAGGTCATAGCTGGGATTCAAGATGAATTTCACTTCGGTAGAAAAAAAACACCACATCTCCTAAAGCATTGCACTTAGTTCTGCTAGTGAACTGCAGTCCCGGCAGCGACAAACGGCAATGAAATTCTAACAAAAACAACACCATCCTGACCCTTTGTACATACCACGTTCCATTTCATATAGGAACTATGTATGGGGGAAAAAATTAACAAAAACTATTAAGTTTACTACATAAACACAGCTCTCTTGCGATTGGTTTTAATTGAAATGAAGTGCACCAACATTATGCATCAAGCTGAAGTCGAGTGGCTATTCACCTAACGGCTTACTGATTGAAAAGCCCTTTTAAGACTGGAAATGCTGGGGGAGGGAGGGAGAGAAAGAGGCGTAGGTGGCACAGTGGCGAGTTTTTGTGAGTTAGGGATGTGGGAAGGGAGGGGGATTATGTAGAGAAACAAGCAAGCAAATGAAAAGAAGGCCGAGTTCACAACTGAACAGGGAAGGAAAAAGAAAATCAAACTTATTCCACAGAGGGAGAAGCGTTTTTCGGTCACCTCAACAATGACCCCCCATCCCACTGCTGCACTTAAGAATTCCCATCAGCCCTCACAAGCATCGGACAAGAAGCTGGTATTGCAATTACAACTACCCCCCCCCCGCCGCCCCACAAGAACCACCACCAAGAATTAACCATGTTGAAGGCTTCATAATTTCTCTAGGTACAATTTAGCTGTCACTTGCATTAACATTTACTCAAACACGGTCTGCGAACGTCACCGACTTCACTTGTCAAGTACTTTCCAGCCAATTAAGTCGAAAAGCTGCAAGTATTCTCTGTTAAGAAAACTGAATGATTAGACAAGATAGCTCATTTCCCCAGTTTCCTTTTGTTCAAGAGAAAATGCCACATTTACATTACCAGCCTTATCTGCATCCCCTGACAGAGAGAGAGAAAATGGACGCTGAAGACCGCAGAACAGTGTCAGCTGCCTGGGACAGGCATACGGAAACTGTCATTATATCAATCATACTTGAAAAAGAAACAGCCGTGAAAGCAGCTTAATTATAACCCAGTGATCCCTGACAAAAAAAAAAAGATCTGATCATCGTGCTGCATTCATCGGGAAGGTGAAATAGTTATGCACCGCAGTACTGATGACATTAAAATGAAAACTACTGAAAGAGTCAGGCAGTTCAACACCTCTTCAACAGTTTTAGTGCTGAAAATGCTGACAAGGACAATGACAACAACAGGTTAAGGGCCTTTGCACATTGTTCTGTAACCTGCATCTAATGTTAAAGTGTATAATTGTTAGAAGAAAAGTAAAAGCGTATATATTTCCTATTACACCTTGCATCTATAAATGTACAATCAACCAATTCCAATGAGATCGGACCAGTTTTAAAATGACATTAGCAACTGATCATCTGCTTGGAAGACAATTTCCTACAGTTCCATGTATGTGTTCTGCGCCGCTCCAGGGAAGCACATGTAATGAGTAGCTGAACACAAAAACTCATATGAGAAGGTAAATATGAGAACACAGAAAAACAGATAAAATGTATTGGATATTATTTAATACTACTGTAGTGTATTGCTGTGCAGCTAGGCATGAACGATATGTTTCTAGGTATAGACACTGCCTTCAAATAATGCATTTTCATTTTTACTTGGAAACAAAGTCAAAGGAAATCAAACCTACCCCACCCCACAAAAGACCCTTTCAAAGAGCTGGCACTCAATAGCCCAAAAAACTTCCAATCACAAACTGGTCAATTTTGTCAGTAATTTACACCAATATGTAGATCAGGAACACATATTGGTAACTCTTAGGGGTGTTTAACATTAAACAACCAAAGCAGAACAAGCACATAAAATGAACATTTTGTACAAAAGCCAAACGGGCTACACTGGGGTACCCAGATCTCCAGAAAAGCTATAGACTGGAAGCACTTGGAGGAGCCAGATTTTCGTACTCCACAGACAGGATGCATCTAGAGGAGCGACTGTTGGAAACATGGAAGAGGGCATGTTTCTTATAAATTAAATATAATTGTATCTTTTTGAACAAAACAAAATAAAAAAAAACTATTACGAGTGTACAATTTTGTTCCTTTGAAAAGAACTGTTAATACAATTATTCAATTTTAATATTGTTTTCATTGTGTTTTCTTGACAATTATTAGAATATTTTGAATATTTCTGATGTAGCTTTAATACATTCAGCATGAATTTTCACAGAAAGAATGATAAACCAGATCCAACGTGCAAAGATCCTAAAATGGATTTAGAAATCTACATAAGGAAAAAAAAAAATGTTCAAATCCATCACCTTTGGAAAATCTTGGTGCCTGATATGCTCCTGTTATCAAACTAATTTTGTCTTGACTAAAACCGTTCCATCATTAACAACTCAAAGTAGTGTGAGAGTCTATTCAAATTAGAATGCCACTTAAAAAGACATTCAGCTATACTCATTTTCATACAGAAACCAGTTTTTCTTCAATGTTTTAAGTAACACTACTCATTGATGTTAAAAATACAAAAATACAAACAATGGCAATTTTTGACAGATACCTCCAGTGAGATTGGTGTCAGCGTCAACTTTATTTTACATGCAGTTCTCGATAAAGAAATAAGTTACTGCCACTTTCTTTTGTTTGCCTTGTTAGACTGGAGAATATAATTGCCAATACTGTTTCAGTCAAAGCTGATCTGCTGCTTAATTTCAAAACACTAAAGCTCATTCACTGTCACAGTGAATCTTCGTAAGCAGTACTCATTAAGTCATTATGCATGACATTCTGATGAGATGGTATCACCAAAGTGACATTTTCTTTGTCCCCAGAAAAATCCAAGCATGATGAATAAGTAAGGGAAAGTAAAGTTAATGAAAGGGCAGTTTTAGGTGTCTACAACATCTTTAAAGAGGAAATCGGAGCCCAATATCGTCAAGCGCAATTGGTGTCTCTCTGAGTAAATCACTTTACTAAAAAGGTAAGGAGTTTTGGCAATACGTTGATTATGGGTTGATAAAATGTTGATCTTAAGCTTGAGGCAATTTTCTTCTTTTTCACTGCTGCTTTAAATAAACTTACCTTGATACTTTGATTTCAATTGCCGTGTGGAGTTTGCAGAACAGTACCTAATGATGTATAACAGTAAATTGTCTTGCTGTGTTTTATAACACTTGTTCTTGATGAAGTAAAGGACATAAGTTCTTCGGCAGCATAGTGCCCTGCATTACATTGTAAATGTGTCTAATTTCTATTGGACTTAACATTAACAGAATGATGAGAAATTTTGGTCACCAGATGCAGCTGTTCAGCTTGCATGCACAAGGGAGCTGAAGTTCATTATTACTTATTATGACTGTGGGTAACTCTGGCTGTTGGAGCACCAAAACAAGAAAAGATACAGCCTTTCAAACAGTTAAAAAACTCAGTAAAGCTCCCACAAGGAGTGAGCGAATTAATAAATGCAACCATCTCTCAAAGTGCACCTCCCTAGTGCAGAACTCACTGAGGGGATCAGCCAGTCAGAGGCCAGGAGTTAAACCCCTTTCTCTAATAACTTATTGCGTGTTGTTTCAAATCCAGCAATTAGTGCTCAATACATAATTAACATGCAAATGAGATGATCTACTTAAAAGCTGTTCTCACAAATAGACCTGAACGGAGGTGAAGGTCCAGCTTAAAGAGGCTGGGTTTTTGTTGTATTTGCATATTGCGTTTTAGTGAGCATTGATACCCATCGCTAAATCAGGAACAAAAGATAATGAGCAGTAATTAAAGGACAGGAAGGGGGGACAAGACTGCTGCAGCCATTACAAGAGAGAGAAGTTGCTCCAGTGAGAGGGTGTTGTCCCAGAAGTCTGAAGGCAGGTGGGCCTCTCCGTCAAAACTATCTACCTCACATCCAACATATACTGGATGCTCAGTATTATTTTTGCATTATGTGCTTTAGTATCAACTTCCCAGACCGACAGCAATACTGTGGCAGATGGTCATTGCACAATCAGAACAGTCTAATGCAAAGATTCCTAACCATTTCCTAAAACAGGCCCTCGTTTCTCCAGAATTAGTCCTGGAAAAATGACAACAGTAGTTGTGCCCAATAAGAAAACTGCCAGAATAAATGCCCTGGATCACAAGTGTTTTAAATGCAGTGTAAAGCCGCAAATGTTTTTACATAAATGGAGTAGATCTAGAACTTGGACCTGAAGGGACCTTCACAGGCTTTAACCTTTCTGCAGGAGATCTGCGTCACCTTTCTCTACCAGCCCAAAGGCCCAGGACCGAGCTGGAGCTGCCTCCAGCTCCAGTTTCCAGCTCCCTTCTGCTCCATCACACACATCCAGGCAGAAAGGCCACGTTGCACGCGCTCACCTCTCGAGGTACAGGGTGATGAGGGGGGAGCAGAGATTGGCAGAAGGCTTGGCGAGGCCTAGTGAGAAGATGGCTTCCTGCAGCCGCTTGATGGCTGCCTCCTCCCCCCGCATGGCTGCCCCGTTGAGGATGTGGAAGAAGGAGCTGAGGGTGGTATCCTGCACAGGCACCTCCTTCTCCTTCATCTCCCGCAGGATGTCCACGGCCTCTGGAGAGGGAAAGGACAGACGTCAAGATCAGACCTCTCGCTGAGCCAGACACTGCGGCAGAGAGCGCAGGGCGTCGCTAAGCTTAACCAAATCTGCCTGGCTTATCACTGGGCCTCAGTCTCCTGCACATCCGCCGTTCCCCGCAACACGTAAAGGGCCAGCAAGTGTGACATGAAGCCCTATGGCTCCTACCCACCCAAGAAAACAAACACGATGGCAGCGAGAGGAGCAAGAGGATTTTAAGGTTAAAGTTGTTTTTTTTCCTGAACACAAATCAGTAATCGCCCTCCACCATGTCTTTTGTAGCAGAGGGAGGGGAGAAAGACAAGTGCAACAGAGGAAGAGGGACCAAGTGACAGAGAGGAACAAGAGACAGGGGTGGGGACGTGAGGCATAAAAGGCCCTTAGATAATTTCATGTAGGGAAAACAAACTGCTATTAAAACAGCATTTTACACCCAGCAGGAATGCAAATTCTACCGTATAATGCCAATTTCAAGTTAATTACTACTTGCATTTCTAAACGAGACTACAATTACCGAGCCCCACAATAGCATGGTTTTATCATTTCTTTGCAACTGCGACTACAAATTATAGGTAGGCAGAGTATGCCCAGCGTGCCCCACGGTGGCCCCGGCCGCCGGCCCTGGGATTCGGAGCCAGCTAAATGGAGGCTTTTATCATCCGGAGCTCACATCTGCCACATAGCGCCATTGTCTCCCCTGGCAGATGGTTTGTCATGGGGCCAGATAATTAAGATGTGTTTACAGTGTATTTAGAGGCACACTAATGGTCTGATACCGATAGGGTCTGTTTGCACCGTCGATACTAATTATCAAAGCTGTGCCAGCGCAAAATGCCCCGGTCCTAAGCAGTGTCTGTGTGCATGTGCTCAAGTATTCAATTGGAATCCCATTTATAAGGCTGCCAATTATACTGAAGCAATGAATAAGACTGGAAATACGAGGAGAAAACCTAATGCATTCTAAAGAGAAAGACAATACGTCACAAGGTTCAGCATTTCAGATCGGCAAATATGCCAACAACAGTTTCTTAACTTCTAATAGGCCTGCAAAAAAACTCAAATTAATTTCAAGTTGTATCAGAAGTGAAATGCGTGGCCTGTGTTTTGTAAGACTATGCAACATTCTGGGGACTAGATTATAAGTTTCCAGGTTTTAATTTTCCAGAAACACTGAGGCATCCTAATTTTCTTTCACATCATCACCATTGTGCACTTTTATTACTCTTGACAAATAATCTGAAAGCAAAGAATGCACACATAACAAGTCACTACAAGGCTCCCTAAAAAAAGAGCTGAAGCTGCCTCATACGGGGAATGTCAATATACAATGTACACAGAACATGTGCAACATGTGCCTTCTGCAAAAGCAAACCACTGAAAACTTTAAGTTCTCAAAATCCACCTGTTGCAAGGGCGCTAAACTCTTGATGCACATCATATAAAGCATAAAGTAACTTCAGTACAGCTTCAGCAAGAAAAATGTTCTCCACTACAGACTAGGATAACACAGACATCACAGGCATTTTTAAATGACGGAAATACCCCAAAATGCTGGAAAAAATGTAAAAATAATAAATCAGACATCTACTCCAACCTACTGTCAAGTCCTAATATCTACTGCACAGTTGTATACTATATTAGATTCAGCTGTCAAAAAGAAAAATGAATTGCTTTGGAGACTAGAAAGAAATGGAGCTGTGGAAAAAGCACTAGATGTTGGCACTGGACATGATGTATTCATTGATTTGATGTACATGGTATTTAAAGTGCAACACTTTAGGTCAGTTTCCAAATGGAAATACATGAAGAATAATAACAGTATCTGCTCAGCAGGGATTAAAATCATAGATGTCATTTAAAGGTTCATGCAAGGATTGAGTAAGTGTTTTTTAGAAGTTTACAATCTTTACAGTATGATAACAGAGCCTTTTTCCTCCTGACATTCAGTGCAACATTTACACAACACTTTACTTTGGCTCTGCAGATAGCTAACAGTGTTATTCTCTAAACATAATGGATGCAGATTGATACAGCACACAGTAAGTAAATAAGAACTGAACTGACAGTAAATTACCATGGCTAACCGCGACATGAGTGAGAACCTTTTTTGGATTCAGTACAGAAAGCCATGGTGGACTGGCCAAGAGCACCATCTAAGATGCATACTTCCTAACAAGTAAGATGAACCATGCAGAGCCTCTTCATTAATGTTGTACAGGATGAGGCACAGTGTTACATCTACAAAAAGATAGTTACAGCTTATGGGCTCTCATCAGTTTTTACAGTCATATGAAACACATATGAAAATGGCTAAGTTCCATATATATAGAAAGAGACATAAACGTCACAAAAACAGTATATATAAAATAATATATATTCAATTCACCTTGGACCAGGCAACCACAAGTGCCAGAGTATCACCAGTATACCTGTATCCAGCCCTCTGAGAGAGCCCATGCTCTCATTCTACACTTGTACCCAAGTTCACTGCTTCATGGTATAGTTATGATGCTGGAGTGGGAGCAGGCCAGATATGATTTAAAAGCACCCTGCACATGCACTTCTGAAAATAACCACACTTCCAAAAGCCAGTTAGAGTCTGAGCTATAATGAAATAACCTGAAGCTCAGTCTGGGTGGCCCTGTGTTGTGTCTACCTGCTGCCTGCCGGAGCCGGGGTCAGCTGGCGTGGGCTGTGAAGGTCACAGCTGCTGGAGGAGGGCAGGGCACTGTGGGGAGGCCCAGGTGAGGGGCAACACCGGGCCATCCCTCCCATCTCCCTGCTCCGGCCCCCACACTCTGCTAACTTGACTCAGCCGCCTGCTCGACACCCTCTCTTAAAAAGGACCATCTCCCAAGTAATTAAATTTGTCCCCCTGCATATTTACTGAACGTGTTCAATTAGCTGCGTTTCAGTGAGTGCTAAACGCTGGCCTCCAGAGGTGTTTAAACGCCACTCAGGATTAAAAAACAACATAAAACACTAATGTACGCCAAGCCCACTGTTTTTCCCAAGGCTCCGGTTTCTCGCAGTACTTACAGCTGCCTCTCGATGCTAATATGCACTGACTACACCTTCAAAGCTCCTTGGCTCTTTTGAGTTTTCTCCTAAAAAAAGGACACTCTGTCCACTTAACACTTGATTATTATTTTAAGGAATTCGAGATTCACATTTAAATGACAAAAATTAAACCATCTCCAGAGTACATGAACACAAATACAATTCATGCAACCAAAACAATGTGCCTATTTACATATAATGTTTTAAATAATTTGTATTTATATGCAAACAATACAATAACATCTACAAAGATACAGCTGCAGCTCCTGGGTCCTCCTACAAATTTGACAGTCATATGAAATGGAAAATGGCTAAGTTTCATATATAGAGAGACAATAAATGTCACAAAAACATTATATATAAAATATATATTAAATTTATCCTGGACCAGGGTCATGTTTATTGACTTCAGTTTTTTTTAAACTGTAAAAAAATGAAACAAAGCCATTAACTTAGGCACAGTGCACAATCTGTGCCACAAGTCATGATCTTCAAACTCAATTTGGAACAGCTACTTTCCTAAAAACGAGCCGAGGAAACGCAAAGGCACTGAGCTGTGCAAATGTAAATGACAAGCTTGCCAAGCCATTAAAACTAATGGCTGGACTGCTGAAGCATCTCTGGTTGAATTCACATGCAAATTTGTATGTGAAATGTTCAAGCACTTTTGGAGACATGATATACCATTAGTATCAAGACCGATTTTATAAATTCTGTTAAAGTGCCAAGAGTCCTGTAATTTGTGAGCACCATATGCATATGTCACTGTACACATACAGATTAAAGCACTGAACAGTGAACATTTCAAAAATCAAATGTGTGCATTAATAGGCTTCCCAATTTAAAAAATAATAATAATTCTTTTTTTTTTTAATTCCTAACTGCTATTTAACTCCAGGAGAACACCCTTTGATAACATAAAAATATACATTTCAAGACGTGTAGATTCTTCAATTCTCAATCTTATAGTGCAAAGGAATGATATGATAGCATTCATCTAAACAGAATTTTGAAACAAAACCAGCAGAAGCTTGATTTGGTTCCAGGACAAGAGAATTATCATTACTGTAGCAAGAAAGACATGTCCATGGGCAAGATGGGATCAAAATACCTCTGAATTCACAAAACAATATGAGGAAAGACAGGTGACAGCTTAAGCAGAGATGAGTTTCCATAACAATTATAATACCAGGTAGTTCAGGAAATACATTGCCATTCAGGTGACCCATGTCCTTGCTGAATGTGGACTGCAATCTTGCCATCTAAGGCTTTATCACACTAAACAAGCACCTCAAATGCAGGTGGACAATTGCATTTGAAGTGCCAAACTCAACCATGTAGCAGTTCTACCTTTAACATTTAATTTAAAAATAATTTTGGCATGCACAATATTGTAAATCCAAATAGAAATGTAAAAAGCATTCTTCATATGCTATTGTATCAACTGTATCTGAATTTTATGGAGCTTATACTTGTCACCCGTGAAAGATGCTGGGCTCAGCGAAGCAATACTGCAAACACACACTGCTGAACCATGTTAAACAGTAAGCAAAGACAACTCACCCTCCAGTTTCCCATGCTTAGTTAGAACCTTTACCAGTGCCATGTACTTATTGGGATCAAGGGCAACAGAGGAGTCCTTTCGATTTCTGAAACATACAAAGCATTTTATTAATTCAAGCAGATACTCATCTATATTTTTAACCAAACCAATGCTGTGCTGGAATTTTTAAACTGAAGAACATTTTACATCCAAATCTTTTATTTTGCGAAAACTAGTATTTTTAAACTACTTAAATTAGCATAAAACAAGTACTATTCCTCAGAGATCAAAGAGAATGGGTTGTTTTGATAAAAGGATTTTTTTTACCGCTTTAACAACTGATTTTAGTATCTAAATATTCTGTAAAAAAACATTGTTTTCATCTTTTTAAATAGCTAAGCTTCCCATCCACCCCTGAAACATCTGGAAATCTTGAAAACTACAACAGCAAAAATGACATCACAAGAGATTCTGATCAACAATGGCAACCCAGAAGATCCTTATAATAATGCTGTAGGAAATATGCATTTTAAATAAATCTCTAGCTACAGGACAGCCAATTTACTGATGCGGGTAGGTAAAAGAATGATGAGTGTTGATTTACTACTACATACATACAGCCTATATATTTAGGCAATGCTTAAATCCTTAAAATAAAACTACTGAAGTCCAGTTTTCCATTTTAAATGCAGGTGGTACTGAGCCAAACACAGAGTGGTACTTGAGAACCCGAGCTCTACGAGTATGTCAGGCATTTCAGAAGCCCCTGCTAGAATAACAGAATAAGCAAAAGGATCAAAATTCAACCTGATGGTGAATGCAATTAAACTGCAAGTTTGACAGTAGGTCTACAGAACAAGCTGTCAGTTTACAGCCTGGGCTGGCTTTCTAAAAGCAGAGGGTTGAGGAATCTCTACATTAATATTCCTATGCATTCCATTGATCTGCCTGGCTTGCAGATTAAACATTAATACAGTGCTCATGTTCCCAGCAGTTTAATTTGGTGGGGGGTGTGCGGCAGACCACAGACCGTGCTCCGCACTCACATTTCATGCTTCAGGTTGAGTGCCTCCTCAGCATTGTCGTGACGACAGCACAGGTTGATGAGGGCTGCATATCCGCCAACAACCATGTCTGCTTCATGCTGTGCCCGCAGCTCCAAGGCCCGGGTCAGGTTCTGAGACGAAAAAGTACACTTGAAAATAACACTATCAAAATAATAATAAAAAAAACTTTCGTTCTATTCAAAATGTATGAATAGACTTTTCCAGGAGTTTCCTTCTTACCTAATGCGAATGGAACTGAAGTAGGCCCCACAAAACAAGCTCTATAGTGGAGGTAACCAAATTCCAGTATGGAGTCTTTACTTGGGGAGCCTACTTTCTGAAAGTGTTTCAACTGTCACCAGCCTTCAAGAGCAAAACAGAACAACGTTGCAAAATTCCTCCCTGGCTGGGTTTGAGTTTTTTTCTTTGTCCAAGCAAAGCTCACGCTGAATGGATGATGATATACGTTGGCCTATTTGCCGACCTGTGGGCAAGTAATTCCAAGTCTCTATTTGGGGTCCAGACATTTTAAATAAACGCCATAAGCGTGTCTAAAATAAGAATTAGGCTAAAAATCCTTTAAACCAATATGCTTCGTATTCACCCAGCCACATTAATCCATGTTAGCACAATCATGGCGTAAACACTGACAGTAGCAGAAGCCAGTAGCATTACTGCTTTAACAGACACAGCCCATCACATACGGACATCAGGAGTTAAATCACTGCAGCCATGTCAGATGGTATTAACACACCCAGCCACTGCCTATCAATGTCAAAATTTTTGTCAGCCCCTTAATGAAGTCAGAAAGTGAGTTTTACATGTAATGCAAATGCTAATTGAAGACGAATGTGTGGTCAAAATATTAACCAATTTACAGACGAAGTCAAGACCCAAACTATAATACTGGATTACTTCTGTAACCTACAACACTGGACCCAGATGGCAAATTTTCAGGTGAACAATCTGTACCTGTGAAGCTTTTGATGTTTACAGAACTGACTCTAACCACACCCACTCCACTGCTAAATATAGACACCAGGTAACCAGGCACGCACTACGACATACTTTTTCAATCAAGGATAGGCTTTAAAAAAAGTGAACAGCACAGGTATGATTCACAGAAGGTATACATCTTGGTGGATAATAAACTACAGGTAAATACATAATCGATGCATAAAAGGGTAACATTGTCAGGTAACTATGTACTATTTGACACATCTGTATATTTATTTCTAGAAGGAATTCTCCCCCCATTATGTAACTTAAAAGATTTTAAGAATACTAATATTACTGTTTTTGACATTCTCATATCTGGCGAAGAGTTACTTTATTCTAACAGAAAATGGTGGCAGATTTAATGAAGTACACTTGGTGTGCAAAGACTGGCTCTGATTGTCCGTCGCTACAGTATTACACAGTGCTGAATGCCTATAGCGCCTTCCTGAGCTAGCATCAAGTTGGGAGCTGCATAAGAGAGATAGATAGGTGGCATATCAGTGCCACGCTGTGCGCTAAGTGCAGAAGATTAAGAGATACTTTCACGGTTTCACTTGTGGGACAAGAGGCACTACCCATCAAGAAGCACTATGGGAAACATTAATAACAAAGCCTCCACACACAGCCTTACATCTTTCCAATGCTTTACAACGGGACTCTAATGCACTTCTTTGCATTCATTAAAAAAATACAAGCGCCCCATTAGGCGGACAGGGAATATCTCACCAGAGCTTTAGTGAATGCAAATGACTTCAAAAGAAAAGCGTAGGTATGGACTGCTATTATACTTTCATCATTATGTACAGTAGCCCAAAATCATACTGTTTTTTAAAAAGATAATATGAAGACGGGTAGCTTTTCGCCCACACCATTAAAGACCTAGAAGTGAATTTCTCTGTAATTTTTACAAGAAGATAGCTCCATCTCTAGCTGTGGAGACCCACTGAAAAAGACATAAATCTTTATTTCATTTAATCCCTTCAGAGGAACATTTAGCCATCAAAGTAGTGACATGTGATGTGATCCAGTAAGCCTCCATTATTTATTTTGCAATCACTGCTTTATGTTATGTTTAAAGTACTCTTGTTCTGGGGCCTGAAATGACTGAGGACATTATTAACCATGCAGATTATCAAAGAGCACTTTTCTTTTGAAACTATAGATCTGAGGGTAATTTGGAGTTGAGATAATATAGTTAAGTTCTAAAAAAATGTTTGGCATGGAAGGAAACTAATTGGAAAAACTTGATTAACGAAAGAAACAGGCAGGTGAGGTTACCTCCTCAGCACAGAGAGCCAAGATGAGCTGTTTGAGGATGTCTCCAACAGGCTTGTTTTCAGCCTTCAGTTCATTCAGCTTTGTCTCCAGAGCAGACACCCTGACTTCCATCCCCTGGAAAAATCAACAGCAAACGCAAAAGCAGCTGTCAGGTCAGTACCCTGTCTGCACTCTACAGCTGAAATGTTGTAATAAGGACCAAAACACCACAAAAGATCCCAAAGTTTCCAAAACCCTTTTATACCTTCATACACACAATATGGACCTCTTGTAATCTTCTCAGAGCACTCTTTACTGGGCAAGAATTCTGTGTACTTATCTTTACTTCTTTTAAAAAAACACTATTTCCTCTACACCATGAGCAATACACAGATGCAGAATAAAAGACATTTTGAAAGTAGCTAATTCCCTTTAATAACCCAACTGTTTTCAGCAGGGATTTTAAAATGTGAAACATTTATATATCTTTCGTGATAAATTATCTAGGTACTTTATTAATCAATTACACAGTGATAAATCTACCACCCACGAGGCTAATCAGCAGCAGTAGAAAAGAACAGCGCTATTTCAAGTTTTAGGAGAAACAGTAATTATCTTCATTCCTGTCAGCTGCACCCAGGGCAGGACACAGAAATCTCAGAGAACTGAAAAATTCTCACCTTGGGGATGTTATTGGTGGTAATGTCCTTTTCATCAACTAGAACCAGAACATCCTAAAAACAGATAAGGAGCAAATTTGACTTCTTTGAAAGGCACAACAGGAACTAAGCTGCTTTATCAATTGGTGTAACATTTATTACTACCGGCCTGAAAGCAATAATGTGAACTAGATCTAACAACTCACTGGTCACTATATAGCAATCTGTGATCGCACTGATACTGTGAACACAATAAAAATGTGTACACTATACTTTTAGATTTCCACAAAAAACATGAAAATTGAACCGGGCCAATTAACTTAAAAACAATTGAAGCTAACCACTCTATTTGCAGCAGGCTTCTCTGAGAGAATGGTGCGAGCCAGGTGTGGTTTTATGAAGCAGCCATAATGCAATTGTCCATTTTGGACTTATTCAAAGAGTTAACCAGTTCTATTTGCACAGGCTTCCAAAAACTCAACGTGAGCTTCCCCCTCCTCCATCTTTTACCTTAATGAGTTCAGGCACATGGCAGGAATCAAGCAGGTTGCGAATTCCTCTGTAGATGCTGGCTGGGATTGTGATGTTCTATAAAATGGACAAAATCAAGACTTTTTTACCTTACTCGTTATTAAACATTGAAATCACACAAATGTCAGAGAAACGAAGCAAATCAATTTTGCAGCATCTTTACAAAAACACAGATACAGTGTCATTGCTGGATTAATGTAAATGTTTTCAGCTGCAAGCTAATAAAACCAAAATGTATTTTTTCCACTGTTCTTGTGATACTGAATTGTCTGAAGTAAGGAAAGTCGCATTTTGCCCAAAGGTCGATAATTTAAATTACTTTACATGGGCTCTTCATCCCCAAATTCGTACATATGTGTTCCGTGCTGAAATTTTGCCATTTCTAAACGCTAAGAAGCTTTTTGTTTTTAAGAACTGCAGTGCTTGGTATATTACTAAAGCTAGACACAACAGTTGTGGCAGCACAAGACAATTCCTCAGAATACGCTGTAATCTCATGGTGTTGTTAGTGTTCAGCAGCAGTACAAACGTGAGACAGTGCTGAGCAAGGATGTCTAGTGCTCAGGTTAAATGAGACAATACCATGTTCTTGAGCTGGGTGAAGTATTGCCGCAGAATCTCCTCCCTGGCCTGTACCTCCGAGTCCTTCATGCTTTCGATTAGCTTGTACAGAAAATAGGAAATGGCTTCTGCAGGGAGAGGAGAGAGAACAATTTTCAGCTCATGGACACAAGCGCACAGAAAAGAAAACGCGTGCAATCAGGCAGGAGCTGAACGCAACCTCTTGCGAAAGGTGATCAGGACTGATTTATCTAAGGACAACGGGAGCTGCAGCAAGGTGTCGAGCAAATGACAAAGAGGGGGTGGCACGAGGGATCATGTGGGAAAGGAGACATTGTGATCGCGGGGGTTCATCTTCACAGGCAGCGTGGGTTTATAAGCAATGATAGCTTCACAAACCCAGACATGAAAGTAATAGGTTTCCCCTTTATGTAGGCCACACAAAGGCCTGGAGTCTCCATGCTACTCCAGGCTTAACTGTATTAACAGCAAAACATTTTTAAAAAGGTGCTTTAAGTCTATATGTCCCTAGTTCAACAAAAAAAAAGTTGCAAGAGAGCTCAACATACCATTTATACCTCTGTATTATTCTGCACTGAAATATTCCTCATCAGAAAATCTATAGGTTAAGTCATAGCAACCTATTTCAGTACTGAGTATCCCTCAGTATTTTTCCTGTATTGTTCAGGAAAAAAAAACTCTCTCTTTCACTTTAGCATCACCACCAGAGTGCGTCTTGTCTTGGTGATCACTTCCCTTCCGCCTTCTCAGACCACACTTTACAATCAATACAGCCACCCTGACACTGCAGGTCTACTCTGGACAGCAGGATGGACGGCACTAAATGAAATGTGTAACTTTCAAAAAGATACGTTGCGCGCTCTCACTCTGTTCATTTCAGCAGCCTATACTTTTCTTAAACACCTCCCGCCTCTGGATGGGGCTCCTCGGCAACATGTCTGTTTCCTCAATCAACGGCACAGTGAGAAACACTGCTGCCCGGCCCACAAGCAATAGCTGCTATTTCACCCACCAGACTCCTCGCCAGTCAGTTGTAAAACACCGGGGTCCGACCGAATTTTAAAAGCAGGTATAATCTGAGTAATAACACAGAGTGACCACCATCCAGGCAAAGATTCAAATGCCACGGTGACTGGGTATCGCCCTCCCCCATCCATCAACCTCCCTCTGCATACATGCGGCTAGACAGAACGCCACCCCTTTGCTTTAACGATGTTTTCGGTTTTTTAGCCTCAACAAAAAAAGCAATCAGTGCGTCCACTGTTGTAATCCCTCAAGCCCATCATTACGCAGAAGGCTGGATTTGTGGATGGGTTACAATCAGAGAAATTGAAACGCTACCAGTGGGTCCTGCAGGCGCCTGGCAGTAGCGTCCGTCTCTGTACAGCAGCTCTGTTATCTGGAACGACAGAATAATCACATGCTCAACGCAGAGACAAACACTGTCTACAATTGAATTTGCAAAATAATAACCTCCTTTCCAACCCAGTCGCTAATCAGCAGAACATTACGGCATTTGATGTAGCAAGAGGAGAAGGGAATAAAAGGCCCAGCTAGTGCTGTGGATACAGGACTTGTAAGAGAAATGCTGAGAAACACATTCTGCTTAACTTAATTTAAGAAAACGCAATAATTAAAATAGCTGTTTTTCCTCACAATAGACTGCTGCACCACTTTTCCATATGGTTGCCCCTGTACCGCATGCACAGATATGCTTGCACAAAGGAAACACCTCTGTACGTTGCTGAAATGTAACATTACAGCTATGGTTCTTCCCCAAAATAGTAATTTCTCACCCCATGCCCCCCTGAGTTTCACCATCTAGTGTACTGTGACAATGGCAGAGAATAAATCACAATAACAGACTCCTATATGTACATTTTGTGCAGTACGAGAACATGACAGTAAAAAGTGAATTAAGCTGAACGATGTCACAGACAAGTGCTGCATCATTATCATATATTCATCCAATCCGACTGTGGTTTCTCAGCTTGGGGACAAGGCACTTCTTCCAGGAAAATGGTTTTGGGCAACTTTTATTTCCAGTCAGTTTCTGAATATATGTTCCAGATACAAAATAAAAAATACAGCATGTACACTGTATTAATCTTTCCCACGGCCACAACAGAGCCCCTGCTTTGACAAAGGATGAAACATGTACAAGTGCATAAGAAGGAAAGTGTTGCAATATGCAGTGAATGAGTTTAAAATCAAGGCTGTTCGCCCTGCGGCGTATGGAGATTGATGGTGGCCAGTGCCTCGCGGTTCACAGAGTTCAGTACAGTGCAAACGATAGCCTGCCATGCAACTGAAAGCCAAGCTCTTGCACATCAGGGGAGCGAGGACCTGCCTGCAGTCACCCCTACAGCCTCACCAGATTTGTACACTGCTGAATATGTGCATGGGATATTAGCACTGTAACTGGCTTGATCTTTATTTCAAATTCTAAAGCTATCTTTTCAGTATTAACAACCGAAGAAAAGTGAAAAGCTTACAAAAAAAATCAAATCACCAGAGATTTTAACCCACAGAAAAAAAAAACAAGAATATGAATTAACATGTATGATTCAAAGAAAGTTGCTATATTTGTTAAACTGCCAAAAAACTCCAAGATTTTCTTTTGCAAATGTTTTAGCGTTTACCAAGAAATTCACACAACGGTGGTGAGCTAGACAAAGTGCTTTGTAAAGAGAAGGTTATTTCTAATCCATCACCACACTGCTTTATAGCTGCATTGTTGCCTTGCTGTAGAAACCTCTTAATAACGGTTGCTATTTTTCTCGTCTCTGAGCGTTTGCAATTGTTCTTCCTCCGGATACTGAAGAAGCAGTAATGTATGACCCTGGACGTACAATTGAATACATCAAACGCCCCCTCAGTGTACCTGGCTCTAGCGTGCAAAGAGCAGCCGTCCCAAGAGACGCTGTGCAATGAACAGGCAGTGGCAGGAGGGAGACCCGTGTTGTTCCGGGCAGTTTGTGCACCGGAAAATCACAGCTAAGTGCTGCCAAGCTCATTTCCCAGGAAGAGGCTCGGACTTTGCTCTCCGTGCCATCGACCTGCTGCTCTGCCTGTCAGAACTGCTCCAGTCAGCCGGCCGCCAGGCCTGTTCGCCAAGTCTCTGCAAATCCCTCTGCATCCACAGCTCCCAACTCCCTCCGCTTCTGTGTAAGTGAGCTCTGGTGCCGCTGCCATGTAAAACCCTGGCAGCTCCAGTTAACAATGTTGGTTTTTTCATTTTACCGAAGCAACGTTTTTGTAACAGGATACAAATTAGTCTTCCATTTTCTTATTTATATAGAGATCTTATTTCTTATTTATGAGATCAGTTTTGGTTCTCTCAAAGTTAAAGTTGGAGGCTAACCTAAAGAGGTGCCTACATTTCAACAGATGAGACATGGTTCTTTTTCTTGTCTTTTAAAGGCAAATATAGTTCTATGATCCATCAAAGCATCTAAGTTAGATAATAAATGTATATTCTGCATTCCAATTCACACCATTTACTAATCCCCAACTCAATACCTTTTCATGCATCTTTACTCTATTGGATTCAATATTAATTTTGTTGGCCCCTGTGCAGATATGACAAGAATAAAGCTCTTGAACTGCTGTATCAAAAAAACTTGCGTATTGTCACTGTTAAGTCATAGATCAAAATACTGAAAAATAAAAATCCAACTATGCATATAAACACTGTTAACTGACCAGAGCTTTAATCCTGTTTGAACCCTGCAATCGAGATGTCACTGTGTTAGTCCACTGTACAGGCCAGTAAACACCTGCTGTTGTAAAAACAACTGTGTTGTGAGCAGGGACGGTTTGCTATTAGCAGCTCAAGTCTTACCTTAGCCATGGTTTCCACATCATTACACCTGCAGGGGGCAGCAAAGAATAAGAAATCAGTAAAACAATTTCATGGAAAGAGGAAGAGAATCCTATAGATCGCAACAATCCAGGTCCCCATTGTGTAACAGATTAAACATGACGGGCAATCTTGTCATATTTCTTTCTGATTATTTATCCACTTACCTGAAAACACCCTGCTTTGTAAAAATGTTAAGAACGTGATAAAGTTAAAAACAGCTGTTTGCACATGAGACTAAATGCCTAGAACAGCTTTGTGATGGATTGACTTATTTATGATGAATTGATAATGTTTAAAATTGTTAAACTTTGAAAATCACTACAATACTCATAACACTGACAAGACATTGTTTTAATTGATGTTTGTAGTAATGCTGTAAAATGAATGCATGCTGCATGATGACATCTAAGACAGTTACTCTTGAACTTCGTAAGCAATAAACAAATGAGGCTCATAGAAGGCATCAATCTGGATGACCATGACACTAGAGATTATGTCATTGAGAGGCGAGGTCTCTTCAACAAATCACTATGCAGAGAGCCATTGGTTTAAATGGTCAAGTGAATGACAGCCATATGTATTACGTTACTTATATTTGTTCCCCCCCCCCATCAGCTTGTTTAAGAGGCGAAAAAATTGGACATTTAATTATTAAATTAACCTTCCCCTCCTCTTGACCTTGCTGTTGACACGTCCAGGTCACTATGTGAAGTGACAGGGCTCTGACAACCACAGACTGACATGCAATTACAGCCCCTGACAGCCGCAGCCAGCTCTAAAAGCTCTCTGCTCATATTTAAAGCAAACAGCAAGCCATTTGAACAGGGAGCACCTTTCCCAGGATATTTTTAAGTGATACTTAAACCTATCCAGACCTTAATTTAAAATCTGCACTTACAGACATCATCAACTTCCTCCTACTCCTCAGGAGGAAGAAGAAACCCTTTCAACTACATATACAGTATCCACAACACAAAAACTGCCTAAATGTGTGATATCATCTATATAATGTACTGTTTTTAGCTCACATATAAAGTTGTCAGAAAAGGCTGCAAATGAGAGAAGGCCACGCAGCCTGTCACACTCTTTTATCTCTATTCCAGTCACGTATCCTGAACTGGTCATATTGAGAACGGAAACTCTCTGGTCACATCAGGAACAAACCCTAAACCCCTGGAAAATTAGAGTAGCCAGACAAACTTAGCGTTGTCTTAGGAATGAAACCATAGAATCTGGCAAAAACCCCAAGAGAACTCGGAGAACATTCAAGCTCCAAGGGGAGAAGAACCCAAAGTTGGACCACAACGCAGGACTCTAAAGCCGAGAGTCAGCTGTGCTAACTGCCACACCACTGTGCTGCCAATGAAAGACGTCTGGTATCATAATTACAGAAAGCTCCATTTCAACACACAGTATCACAATATCACCAGTATTGTGTGGAATTTTTGTTTTATAGGATAAAATGAATGGAACATCTTCTTCTACAGGCAAACCCACACCAAACAAACTCAGTAAAAATCACACGCTAAGAAAATATCTTAGAAAATATCGTGCGGTAAGTTTTCTTATGGTTTCATTAAGGCCGCGGGGTGAAAATGAAAAACTAAAAAAATTAAAAACACTGACAGTCTCCCTGGGTATCTACATTGAGGAAAAGAATCTGCATATTCACATCAACATCCAGAGGCAAAGTTTTAAGTGAGGTGTATTTGCATTTTTGCTCCTTATTCTCCAAAGGCCAGCCTTCGAGCAATCAGGCATCCTGAGGCACAGGCACACAGAGCAGCCAGCACCACTGGGAGGTGGGTTTGTAACAGGGTTCCTGGCAGTAGTGCTCACACTCCTCAGACTCACAGGGATCTCATGGACTCCAATACATTGTTAAATCTGAAGGCAGCCCACAGATTAAAAATATTTGGGCCCTTTTGATATTTCCTAAAATAATTAATAAAATGATTCAATGGTCCCCTAACTTCATGCTATCTTCAGTGCAGCCAAGATATCTGGTATCTGATATCAATGATTTGGGTACATTTAGTGGGAGGTTTACCAAAAGACAGGACCACTTTGTATAATGCCGGCATAAATGAACAAAACGGAAGGAGACTAGTACCACTAACAGGCAGACACTGAGCTGAGGGTGGTGTGCAGTGTCCCGGCTCCATCATGACTCCAGACTGGCACCACGGTGATGGTGCTAGGAGGTGCCCCTTGGCTGCTGCAGACTCCAGTCTCCCACAGGAGCACTAACACACCTTTGCCCACACGAGGGAGAAACGTGGAGCACAGCATCCTCAAATCTCAAACTGCTCCTTCCTCATCTACTGTCACATTTCATTTGGTGACCCAGGGATTCACCCCACCCGCCCTCCCCCTCCCCACAGCACCGTACCGCTGGAGTTGCAGTGGCGCTTGCAGAGAATGCACCATTGGTGCAAGACTGAAAAAGCTGAAGGCGCACACACCTTGTCAAATGGTTGTTGACACAAATCTCAACATTGAAACTCGCTGATCTTGCAGGGTTTGTATCAATAACAAATCCCATCCAGTATATTGAGGGCTGAAAATGGTATTAAAAAGAGGGACCAAACAGAAAACTGAAATGCGCTAGCCTGTGAATCAAAAGACACCTGGAGCAGAAAGCAGCAGATGCAGTGGTATTCCAGGCCTGAGATTGAAAGTGATTGTCCAAAGGAGCTAAAGATGGAACACAAACGAGCTGAACTTGAACCGTGGATACTTCTCTCTGTCCACACCGACTCCAGTCATCCCCAAGGTTACCACCAGGTAGCAAAGTGCTTCGAAATAACCTAACTCATTCTACAGTGGCGCCTGTAATTGTATCGCAAGCACTGGCAGAACATCACAGTATCTCTGTACGTGGACAACCTCAGTGCTCCCGTTTCACACGCACTTCGAGGTGCGCAGTGTGCGCGGTGTGCTACAGGCTGCCACCTGCTAATAGAAGTGCACGCTCACCTTCGGAAACCCAGGACGAGGCTTCCGCGGAAGGCAATCAGATCCACAGCTGGGAAGGAGGGAGAGGACACTGCAAGATATATTGAGAGAGAGAGAAGTTTGAGCGTAAACCTCTAATCCTGGTATTTAAAGAGATTACTTAGTGCGTTTGACCGGGATACAAAATACAACATGGCCTTTAGCACCCTTAAACCCCCATCACCTATATGTGAGACACTGTGCTTGCAACTCAAAAACACACAAGGATGGACAATCGTTGGAACATGAAATAGTAGAGTCATGCTGCAAGAACCCTAAGTTACTAACATGCCTTATTTTAAAAGTAGAGGGTTTATAAAATTAAGACCTGCTTGTAGAATCGCAACATCATCTTGCACTGCTCACTGAACATAAAAGATTAATAACTTCTGATCCTTGGAAAATCTCCTCACATTTTAAACAGATGAAGGGCAAATATGCAAAGAGGGAAAAAATTCATTATTTATAAATGCTGTCCCATAGCCTCCTTTAGCAAATCGCCTCTGAACGATGCAAAGCGTTCTTTCGTTAGATATTTAGATTTGTTCACCACTTAAAATGTCTCCTCTAGCAGCTTTGCTTCTCATTGTGCGAGTGTCTCAACACCGGCAATTAGCCCACGGGCAAACCATTAGCCGTATGTCGATGCTGAATGTGCCTGTGCGCTGAGATCAGCCCGGCTGAGGGGGAGGATTTTTGGGGGTGATTCTGTCCATGACTGCAAGAGTGAGTCCTTTCTTCAAGACCGTTCTACGTGACAACATGGGCCTGTGTGCAAGGAAAGGCAGGACCCAGATCTGACCTGCATCAGACAGTTTATTAGGTGAAACAAACATCAAGTATGTTTGGAATTAAGCGTTAGGCACACTAAAGAACTTTCACGACAGCACGTTCAATAATGATGTTCAAATGTGGGAGGGCACCTAACTTGGGCTACTTTGCGACTTTGCATTTCGTGGGTTAATGGCTCTGCTCTCCCTCCCAGGGCTTGCAGAAGCCCATTTCATTGTACTCGAGGGCGAGAGCTGATGCAGACACTCTGTGGCAGGCTGAGCCCTACCTGCCTGTTGGAAACACAGCTGACCGGACCTGACACTGTGCTCTCATGTTAGTGGGAGCATCAATTTCCCTCCCAGCCCTTGGCTGGTTCCTCACTGACAACGTGAAGCAGGAAATAATTCTGGAAGAACAACCTGGTAGAAAGACTGCTGTCGCTCTCCAGTGAAAAAGCTGGCAGACTGCAGAGTTAATTTTCTTGTAGAAGAGCCTGCTACAGCAACTTGGGGGGAGCGTATAAAGAGAGCCAACAAAGCATTAAGGTAACTGGTATAGGGATTTCACAGCTTATATTTACATATTTAAAGATCAGTGTGTTTGTCATAAAAGTTGATGATCATACAGCATCTTTTACTGCAATAATAAATGCAGACAATGAAGAACCAAAGAAGAAATTAAAACAGCTGTTCCTCTCAGAGGTGAGCTGGGTTATCCACATGCCACTGCAAGATTACCTGAGATGGGAACTTGACAATCTACCACATCTCTTCAAGATGAAGTGCCTTCTGCTGTGCTTGCGCCTCTATGCACAGTCAAGAGTGTTTGCTATTAGTTGTGTAACACATAGTCTCACAGAGCGATTTCCTTACAGGTGCCCTTTGTTTATTCCCCGCATGGTAAGAAATGGGCAGAATTTCTGAATTCTGAATTCGCCTGAAACAACACTTCTACTCACACAAAGCGAGCACATCAGAGAGCTTCCCACTGCTTGCCTCAGCCCTCAGCTCCGATGCAGCAAATCCCTCTGTGTCAACAGGGCAGCCCACCTCCTGCAATCACAGGACAGGCCTCACTTAGACACACCAGCCTGGAACTGGAGCCTGGTGCAGCACCGGTAGACAACTGTTACTTTACAAAACATCCACAGAAGAGAGGCAGTGGAACCTTGATCATGGCACGAGCATCCTCCAGGCTGGAGAAGCTGGGAAGGATGAAGTTGGAGTAGGTTTCCACATCGGGCTCCACGTCCAGCTGCTGCATAGCCTTCAATACCTCCAGGGTCCCTGGTACAAGGGGAGGGGATCACAAAACATGGAGGCATTAGTTTTATGTTGAACTTTTTTTTTTTTTTTAAGGTGAACAAGAAACCAATAATAAACTCGAATAAAAATATGTTAAAAAAAGCTAAATCTATTTTGCACGGCACAGGGCCGAGCATACTTTTTTTCTTTCTTTCATTGAGGCATCTTTACGAAGTAATTCACCAAACCTTTTCCCCAGAAAAATAAAACGCTTTCAACACTTGTCTAGAAGGTCAACTCCAACCCATGCTCTTTTTTCTTCCACTACTTTACTACTGCATTACTACTTTACAGCCATAGCCCCTCAGCAAGGAGACTTGCGACCTGACAGCACGGTCTCCAGATCAGTGTCACAGAGTGGGACAGCAAGTGTCCCAGTCCTTCCTGGGCTGACACGAGACATGGCACCAGGTCACAGTGAGAGAACAATCACAGTGCCAGAAGAAACAATCCAAGTGACACTCTACTTGACATGAGGACGAATCTCTTAAGGCTAAGATGTCGGATCAGCCATGGCTTTCAGCCCACAATGCCCAGAGACAAACGTGTCCCATTTGGGCAGCTAAGGAGCAAATGCTGAGACACAGCACATGACTGCCTGTCCCAGAAGACATTTAAATGATACATTGCCCTCCAGCTATAAGACACACACCTTCTTACCTCACTTAGCTGTGAGGGAGCTTTGAACTCAAGAACTATACCCAACTCGTACGTTTCGCTTTGTACATTACTGCACAAAGGAATCTGACTTAACTAACACCGCACAGACTGTTACATTTCTAAGCATACTGAAGAGTGCAAACCACACTGCTTCACATATAACACAATGGGATTATCCTTTTTTTATTTGAAATTTTCTTCTGAGCCATAAAGCATCTTTCAGAATAAAGGGAAATTGTCCTGCTCTTTTGAAGCAGGTTTAGCTATTTAATGTTAAGGGACAAATGACAAAGGACAAAAAAAAAGTTGTATCTTAGATGCAAAGCACGGTCAATGTCAAACTGCTACCCATGTCTGAGAGTGATACAGTCACTGACAGGATTAAGCACCCCTCTGAGCATGATGGCAAGGCTGCTTTTAAGGAAACCAGCAATTGCACCTTATAGAAAGCCACACATTATGTCTTGCATCACAGGCTTCATGCCAGTTTACTCCAAAGGTTCAAAGGTCAGTGTCTCTGTTCCTTAGTGGAATTTACTAGCCCTCCTGATCCTCAATCCCTCTCTCCTCTCTCACCCAGAATGAAAACCCACTCCTCAATGCTTGTGTTCAGTTAAATAAATGATTAGCTTGCTTTCATACTTTGTCAAAACAAGTATTTGCACATAAAAGCCTTTGCTCAGACTGATCAGGCTATCAGAGGTACAACACAATGAAACATATTAAACAGGTGAAACACATCGGGCACACTATTTTTCTAAAAAGAAAAGACAGGCTTTATATAGCTTTTGTCTCCTCAATTCACAACATACTGTAGCTACCCTGAACAGACATGGACACTTTTTCAAACGATGGAGGTGTGTTAACAGATTCAATCAAAGGATGCCAAATGGATTAAAAAAAGGACCCAGATCCTTAAACACAGCTTGGTCAACCACAGAGGAGACTAAGTGAAGCTGAAATCCAATGTTAAGTTTCACTGCTCAACTTAAATGACTACAGACCAACACCATTAAGATCATTTAGTCTGCATTCCGACAGAAGCCATGACCTTCTCAATTTTTTTTTACCTCGCCGGTTAATGAAGCACAGACACCCCAAGGCTTTCCAGCGAGTTCGGGGGGAGAAAAAGGAAAAATGCTTTATAAAATCTCACGAGTCGAGTTATGCCAAGTGAAAAATGCCCTTCAAGTTATTCCCCATTAAATACTTTCTTCCCTGAACACAGGTTGCTGCAATTTAAAATGAAAATCACAGCGGACCGGTGCTGTATTATTTATTTAATTGTTTTTGACGACTGGGGTGTTCGGATTCAGAGCTCTGCATTAGGCTCGGAGATGACATCGATTTGGCAATTGGGCTTTCTTTCCTGCCTGGTGGGAGACTCAGTTTAATCCTTTTGCGCCAAACATAAAAGCCTCTTCACAGCAAGGGGAGGCACTGCTAACTATGCTTGTACCATGTCAGAAGCAATAAGGAGACTGCACTGCTCGAAGATGACATGTCACAACGCTCCAGGCTGCTGAAACAAAACAGCATATGCTTTCTCAACTTGTCTCCTGTATCCACGCCTCATCAAAATGCAAAGTTTCCTTAAAACCTCATCTTTGCCCTGGAGTGCCACCTGTAGATAAATGGCACAGCCCTCAATATTTTATGCAGTGCACAACGGTGCGAGTAATCTAAAGTGAATTCCCTTTGAGCGATCGCATTTACATGAAATCAAGTCACTCCTCATCAGTCACACCACCTACACGGCTTGGCCTGAAACGCCATTCCACCCCCACCCCCCACCCCACAAGCCCAAACGCACCGACAGTAAAGTGTGTCCATTTTTCATGAGATGTTAGAACGGCGGAAGGGAAAAAAAATGGTAAGAGTAAAAGTTTTTGCTTCTGTTAAGCGGTGAGTAAGAAGCAGGAGAAGCAAATGGATGTTAAGGGCAATCCACACAGCCCGAGTTAACTCTTCTTTCTGCTGCAGACTTCGATTTAGCAGCTGGGTAAGAACTAGAAAAACTCTCAAAGGCCAGCTGGGTTACCAACATCTCATTGCTTGGAATGGGAAGAAGCTGCATCTCTTCAAGATGAAGTGTATTCTGCTGTGCTTGCACCTCTATGCCCAGTAAAAAGAATGTGTGCCATTGGTTGTGTAACATTCTCGCAGAACAATTTCTTTCCAAGGGTGCTCATTTCTGGTCCCCACATGGTGAGAAAGGTTTTAACGTTTTAGGCCACATGAAGCAATGCTTCTCACACAAAGCAAGCACACCTGATGTAAGGGTCTCTATGACTCCAACCAACCACACAGTCCCTCTCACTGAGTTTATTCAACTAGCTGTAGGTTCCTAATGTTTCAGATAGTGAATGTTAAGTTATATCATGCATTTTTATTATTTTGGTACATACACACATTATACACATGTATTGTATGCCTACCAAAGGTCTTACAAATAGAATTGTATGAACCAAACCCAATGAGCACAAAACAGTGTTTAAATAAATGCCAATCCTGAAAATCTACAGCGACTTGTCTTGTTAAAAATCTAAAAACTTAAATCTCCATCTTTCTATCAGGTCAGTCTTCTTTTTCCACAGCAACATTTCCAGGGTGTGCAGGCTCGATCACAGGATCACACACCCACACAAATGTTCTGCCGCCACACTGACCTCTGGCCTTTAGCCCAAGGGCTCAGGCCCCTGGGGAGCCTCACAGTTTAGCCCGAGTTCATGTCTCGGGGGGACCGTCCCCTGGCTGCTACACAGATGACACCAGTGCCCCCGCCCTGGGGCCAGCCGGAGGGCATGCTGAACCGAGAGACGGAAATACAGACTGCAAGCAGAAAGACCAAAGCAGGCTCAGCACGGAAAAAAAAAAAGTCCATATGAAAGTTAAAAGATTTTTGGCCAAAATATTTTGATCTTACACACACCTTCTAATAGTTAACTGCCTATCACAAAAAGGTATTTTAGCAATTTAAATAAAAGTAACCAATCGTAACATACCACATAACCTATACCAAGAAAGACTGCTTCCTACACTAATCACCAATGGGGATGCCAATTCAGTTTTAAAAGTTTTTAAGTGGTGCTGTTGCAATTACCACTTTCCAATTCTGCAATCAATTAGTTCCTAGTCTAATCTCTGCCCATTTTTAACAACATGTTTAACAACATCTCATAACCCACAAGTTCTATAGAGCTGCAACGTTCTATACGTACTGGTCAGACACCTCAGTATATTATAACACTTGAGTAACTAAAAGGAAACTTTATACACAACAGCTAATGTCTGTACAAACTTCAATATTCTGAAAGCACAGTTTTCAACTCCAGCCAAGCTGAGCTGCTTTAGTCAAGTGAATCACAGCAAGAAAATAACAGACAAACCAGGAGGCTCAAAGCAACTGGATGTCTTATACAACCATGTCCTCACATAAAAAAAAATGCCAGGAAAATGAAAACCTCTCCACTCGTTCAAATTGACCCAAATCTAGTTAACAACCACGGGCTAAACAAAACTGAAAATGGATGGAAAAACAAACAAGCTATTTTTACCCAGTAAAACATATGAATACTTCTAGCAAAAAATCAGGTTATGTTCATAAAATGGCTACAACCTCAGGCGTATCTACTTTATATTATTTTTTTCATCTGAAATCCTTTTTTGGCCCCCATTTAGAGCATGGCCTGCTTGTTCTCATGCCCACTATTGCTTTTTCTCTTATTGCCATCATTTGACAAAGTGCCCCTGTGAACGAAACCCTGCTTCTCCAGAGGTTCTACTTCATAAATATTTCAGATGTGTAAAGTCTCTAAAAGCCGCTCCACACGACGGGCAATGGCTTTTGTGGGACCAAATATTTCCCATAACTTGTATTGGTTCACCCTTTCCTGTATTTCCTGATAGTGTTGGTGGAAAGGGAGCCCAAGTTCTCCAAACTAGCAGTTGGATGTCTTCCCTTGAAGAAGCCAAGAAACAGGAAATGCCCTGCTCAATGAAAGACTTGTCCAGAACTGTTTTCACTTCCAGCCTCTGACTGCCTCATCAGTTCCTGCCAATATCTCTTTCAGGTCACGTCCACTCTCAGCTGTGCCGTGCAGTCTCAGCTACCTCATCTCTGTCAGCCAGCTGATGAGACTACAGTTTGCGTCAGCTCAAATGTGCACATTTACACCACATGCCAACGAATGCTCTAACCAACAAAACGTTTATATACAAATCATGATGCTTATTACAACATTGTGGTGTCACAATGCTTTTGCATGCTGCTTTTAATCACTTTAAAAATCCCACCCAAGTAAATAAAGCACATAGTTCTAAGCCGGACATGATCTGCTAACTTCTTTGTTTCATCTAGATGCTAGGTTGAGGTTCCGCAGTTGTTCAGCTGTTTTCAGACAAGCTCTTTTTGGGACTGACCTTGAACATTGTTGTCTTTCTGGTGCTGTGTGAGAAGGGGCCAGAAGTAATGTGGCCGAACTGGCAGGCCTTCCTCTTTCATCGTCTTCATCAGCTCCACCGCCAGCTCTGAAGGTCAAAACAACCATAAGAGCTTCTTTACACAAGGCACAAGGAAAGACACTTTCTCTACTGGCCCGGCCAGCCTCTCCTTATATTACGTAGCAGGGTCAGAACTTGACAGAGTAATGTCCATTTTATAAAATATGACAGTTTTTTTTATATTTTGTCCACAGTGTTGGTAACAGTTGTCTCAATAAACAGCAATTTTCACTACCCTTGAAAAGCAAAGCTAGAAATGCAACTCTCTAACTACTACACTGCTGAGCAGGCTAACATTAGACTTTTCCAAAAGAAAACTGTTTATGATAACATTCTAAAAAAGGAAGAAAAAAAGTACAGTTTATTTTTCTTTAACATTGCTACTTTCTGTGGGCTGTGGTGTTAAATACCTGAATGCAGTGTTTCTCAACCTTTATCGTAACAGGACACATCTCACTAAAGGTGCTCCTGCTTTGAGGAAGCTGTCCAGAGCAAGAATACAAGTTCATCGGAAACAATACTTCAGATTACAGCAGGGACTGGTCAGCATTGCTCTAGAGAACTGCACCAGCCTGCCGACTGATTTTGAGAAATATGTCCTTAGTTCCTTCTCTTTTTAGGCCATCTTTTTGACCTAAAACAGGTTCTGAGGATAAATAATTTAATTCCATGAAAATCCACCTGATTCCTTATCTGTATCTTTAGAAACACACTATAAGTGGGAAGCCGGGTCCTCCTCCGATAAACTTTGAAGTGTCCACTACATGAGGTCAGAAGTAACGTACTGCATAAATCCAAAATTCACACAAATTTCCCCAAAAAAGTACAAAAAAAAGACTACAAGCTACATGGACCGCCCAAATTTTACACTTTCAACAAATACTAAGTTATCTATTTTGGGCTTGTCAATCATGTCTAATCTAGCAGATTTAAGCATTTTAAACCATGTTTTTGTTTATTAGTTATTGTGAAACAGTAACAGAGATCATCTGATAATCTTAACATGGTTGAGGCAGGACAAAGGGTGTGTTTTAGGATTGTTCAAATGTTTATCACCCTCTGAAAATTGGCTCTTACCTGTCTTTTTCGCATCAAGAGCACAGTGCAGAGTGAACTGCAGTGCAGAGGTGTGGAGATTAGACTCCCGCAGCTCCTTACAGTAGTGCCTCAATTTCTCAACTGGCTGTAGAGAAAAAACATACTATAACCATGCAGTAATAAGGTGCAGTATGGACAAAATCTCACACTCATGGGCTGTTAAGAGTCTCAAAATACTCGACTTAAAGAACATAAATTTGAATTCCGCCTTTTATTATATTAACAAACAATTTACTCTCATAGTGAGGTCTTTATATAGGGAACACAAACATTCCCTTCATTTCCCAAGTATGACATTTTGTGGAGGTAACTGCTAAATTATCTTGGGAGGGAAGAAACAATTATAATTTAGAGTGTTAAAACCAGGCCAGGAATCTCACACAAAAATATATAGATTAGAGAAACAACACAATGCATACAACCGTAACCACTTTAAATTAACCTGTTCGCACAGCACATAGACGTTTGCTTACATAGCGACGGCACGCCATGGCTTCTACAAAATCCATGGTTGGGGTGTGGCATGCTTTCACAACAGCGGTCACACAGAGATTTAAAAAAATAGGATCAGTACCCCACATGCATCAAGACGAGACAGCTGTGATAAGATGAACAGCACTACCCAAGTGGAGATCCTCAAGCTTAAAAGAGTTGGGGAGAATGTTCCTATTGTTCTGCTTGCATTGTTTTAGGTGTTCTAATCTACTGAAAACCAATTTTTAAAGCTGTCTGCTCTTTTTTTGTGAAAGAAAAACTAAATTATTTTATTGCCTTAAAATTGCTTGAATTCTGGGAAGAAAGGGTAGAACACGTTCTATATCAGGAACAAGATGTTTAGTCTCCCTGTAGGCCCCACCTTGTCCAGGTTAACGCAGTGGCGAAGGAAGAAGTTCCCCAGGTCAGAATCGCCATTCTGGTTCTCAGCCTGTAGTGTAGGAAAGCTCTTCAGTACGGTAAAGGCTGTGTCCTCCAGGTCCTGAGTGACAAGACTCAGGCACAGGTTCATGGCATCTAGAGTCACAGAGATCCAGAGGGAGAGAGGTGTTAGAGCAGAAGACAGTTTTAAGATCTACCAACCTCTAAGCAGAAGAAGTATGTAAAGGTTCCAAACAAGCAACCTGTTGATTCATTTGAAGTTTTATTTAAAAATGAACTCAGCTGCAATTAGAAAGCAGGAATGTGGGTGCCAAGGACAAGGACTAAGATCCCCGGGTCTATAGACCTACAAACATGTAAAGTTCACGTGTTATATTTAGAAAAGCTGATATAGTACAGGATAAACCTGACAGCAATTTCTTCAAATCTCTCCAATTGCGATCCTCAGTTTCAATACACTGGCTTTTTCCACCTTTTTGAGTTTTTTTAACTTAAATGTTTTTTTCGTCTAGGAGAATGAAGTTTATCTGGTCCTCTGTTATCAATTTTAAACGTGCACTGGCTTTACATCTCATGATGTGTTTGCACTTCTGTTCCTGCAAGTTTGTCATATTTTTTAAAGGCTTTAGGTAATGTGATAATTCTGCACAGACAGCATTTTATTACTTAATGTACTAAGGAGACCAGTTAGAGGGTCTGAGCTACTGTATGTCATAAACCTGTCAGGCAGTTAGCTGAAACAGTACTAATTCAGCAAGAACACATTCAGTTGTAATTTATAAAAATGTCTTAAGCAATAATGAAAACGTTTTATAACATATATGGACGTTTTCGTATTGAAAGTGATTAGATTGTATGTCAGGATAGCACAGAATTCTTGTTCTGAATTTTACAGCAATAGTTAATATCCAAGAAACAGAATGTAGCAGTCAGCGTGTATTGACAGTAAATCACTAGTCAGAGACTGTTTTACAGTTTTACGGTTTAGGTATTTCAGAAACTTGCACTTACCTGTAAATCATGTTCCACACAAATCTAAAACTATGACTGAAAAAGTAATCCACAATTGGGGATAGCCAGTCAAAACTCATGGGAGTCACTAACAGATGGCATATCTCTGTACTATCCAGAGGTCAAGCAAAAGCTCTAGCCAGCCAGACCTACCAGGCACGTATCCCCGGTCGTGTCTCATACGTTCCACAATGTCTAGCACATACTGGGAATGTCCAGCCTTGGTCAGGCTGAAGATGATCTGCATGAGCTCCCTGTCCATCAGGCTGGCATCGTTCTTATCCACAACTTCCAAGGTCTGAGGGAAGCAAGGACACAAAATACCTCCCGTCAATACCAAACGCTTCAGCGTGGCTTCTCCATGCTACACCCCAAACCAGAGCAACAACACTGCAGGTGCCCCGTTGGGACTACACAGGAACGCAAAAGCGAAGTCTATCCACCATCAACTTTTGTGAAGACACACAATAAAAGCGTGTCATAAAGTAATAAAAGCATGGTCATTCAACTTAGAAAGCATTTCTCAAATCTCCCCGGTCAATACAGTCAGATCGTATCCCAGGTACAAAATAAAATATAAGGAAGTGTTCTTGATAGTGCAGCTGTAAGAGCATCTTAAACATCAGAGACAAGATGTTTAAGCATCTTCTCTGTTTTATTTTAAAGGTGATATGATACAATCACTATATTGACCACTGAAACAAGTCTTAAACCCTAAACAAAATTCTCAGGTGTGAAAATTAGGGTCAAACAAACAAAACAGACATGGGTTCCACACAAAGAGGGAGAAAGATGCCCTTCACTCTTCCATACCTGCTTGATCTTGTCCATGTCGCCCTTCTCTGCGTATGCGTTGAGCAAAGCCAGGTAGGTGTCGGGGCCGGGCTCGATCCCTGCGTCCCTCATCACTGACAAGATATTCTCCGCACTTTCCATGTCCCTGTGGAGAAGCAGAGCAAGCCACCACAGCGGTGTCAGCCAACAATAAAGTTAAATATTTAATAACATCCTCCTCCTAGGTCCGCGTGACTTCCACAAATACATTTTAAAATATTTTGATCACTGCAAACTTAGCAGCACCCACTGTGTTCACTCCAACAGCTCCTCTATGCTGGCCAGCAGGTAGTCTCTACAGAAAGCCTCCCTACCACACACACAACTAGACTCACCCCGCCCGGGCGTGGCCTGTTACAAGGGAGTTGAAGACAGCCTCTGTAATTGGCAGGTCCTTGCTCTTCATGAAACCCAGGATCTTACTGCAATGAAAAAGGCACACCTGCTCACTCAACACTGCACAGTACACCAATCCTAAAACATGACTTTTTCACTAATCTCAGATCTGCGTACCTCGCACCTTCAATGTCCCCCTCTTGGCAGTAGGCTGAAATTAGTCTTTGGTACGTTACCTAATGAAGAGAGAAAAAGTAATGGAAATGACACCAAAACTACATCTCTTTCTGAACCCACCAGGCCTCGTGGATGACAAAAACAAGACAATTATTTGATCAAATCCACTGATGTCAAAATAGAAGAATAGTGACACACATGGAGATGTCTCACCCTTTCTGTGCTCAATGGGCTCTACTTCTGAGAAGAATCAGAAGGAAAAGGGCCTTAAACAATTAAAATGTGTATGATGTGGCTCTGCATGTACAAGCACCAGCTCACACGACAGAGTTCACTGCTTTGAGACTCAGTTATGCCACCAGCTGACAGTGACAGGGATGGGCTTGGGCACGTCGGGCTTTCATTAGCTAGCGGAGTGACAGTGACTCTAGTGATCCACCATGATTGCGCAAGCCACATCTAGGAATTACTGTGCAGGAACTGAGCTGGTCGTGCTGAGGAGAAACTGCATTTCCACTGCATTTTCTCCAGGTGTCACTCACCTAGAAAGTTGCGATGCTAGATGCTTAAGAGGAAGCTAAATTACTTTCTTGTGCAGTTGCCATATGCGGATATAAAACAAAACAGTGAAAGAAGCTGGTTTTCCTTCATGTTAAAAAAGCTCAGTGTTGCCCTGAATGGAGTCCACTTCTGATTATACCCATGCTAGTAACTGGGCTCAGCACAAAACTACCATGTCAAGTTTAATGGCATGAAGTTATCAAAACATGGCAATATTTACCAGTTTCCTCTGAGGATTGCTATAGTCAACATCCGTTTACTGGCGTGTTGACATTTCAGTTTGGAATACCTCATTTATTATAGATTCATAGATTTTCTACAGACAAAACAAGAACCAGCTATGGTATAAGACACTGAAATCTTTCTATTCAGTTACCGCCTCTGGTTCAACACTGAACTCAATTTTGAATAAGGTCTATAGGATAGGTAGAAAATACAAAGTAACTGGTAATGACCACGTTACTGTGCTGCACTTACTCTGTTGGGCTGCACCTTTGCTGCCTCCATTTTGGTGAGGAACTCTGTGGGGGAGAACTTGAACTCGTTCTGCAAGTAGACCTTGAGCAGGGCATTGTAGTGACTGGCATCATACACTGCACCTAAACAGTCCAAGAGCAGACACACCTCAGCCAACTTTACATAGAAACCCCCCCTTATTTTGCTAGCATCTTAACTTTATGGAAGACAAATGATGGAGCTTTTTTTCTAATGACTTAAATTCAATACAAATAGACAAGAATAGTGGGTCTACTTTCCACGAAGAAACATACTTGAAATAGACGAATAGACCATCAGACACCAATAATGTTTGTTTTTTTTTACTTCAGCCTATCTTGGGCTTGGTTTTGTAGGAAATTTTAAAAAATATGCTGAAATCCACAAAAATCAAATACATGAACCACTAAGATGTTCTAGCTCCTGCTCAGTCTAAATCGATTCACTCATTCCTTGTGCCCCTCGACGGCCCGGAGCCTGCGTTTCAGTACAGCCCATCGATACTGCCCAGACCCATACCCAGCTCCTGAAGCTTTTCCCAGATGCGGTGCACCAGCTCTGTGCGCTCAGACAGCTGCATCTCCGGCAGGAGGGAGCCACAGCTGCGCAGGAGGAGCAGGGCCTGGTTCCCACTGGGGTATCCTGCAGAGAAACACACTCCCACAGTTACCAGCCTCACCATCACAACTGGCCTTCACACCTATAAGCAAAAGGACTATGGAGGTAAAAGTGCATGACACAGTCAAGTGATTATTCCAGTCGTTTACTCTGCACTGCACAAAAAACTGTGAGCAAGAACACGCACTTTAGGGACGTGACTGTTTTTTTGGATCCATGTCATAACATAGGAGCAAAGACCAGAGAAGACTAAGGTCCTTGTTTTCCCACTAATCCATAGTTCATCAGTTAACTGGGTAAACCATTTCAGCCGAGGCAGGGCCACGCCATCTTGGCATACCTATCCGGCAGATGTCGTGGAAGATCTTGAGCAGCAGGGTCTTGGTGATGCGCCCGGTCCTGCGCACGGAGCTGTCCAGCTTGTTGAGTGCCCAGTCAAACTGCTGGGCCTGGCGAGAGCGTACCGCAGAGCTGGGCTCCTCCCGAGACACGCCCAGCTGCTCCGACGCCATGGAAACCGGTCGCACTGCACCCACCCGCAACATGGACCTAGTGGGGGGGGACATGAGTGGAGCCAATAGTACTCAATGGTCAGTCTGTAGAGGGCGTGCAGAGTCTTAACTATGTAGGAAGACATGCTGACCAGCACCTGGGCTACACTGAGAAGATAGACGACATTTTAATGAAAGTAAATCACAGGCTGTTCTTAATTCAAAGACTAAAGAACTTTAATCTTAGTAAAAAACAAATCCTAGAGATGGCATATAAAAGCTTTGTTGAGAGCACTGAATATGAAATAATTGGGAAACTACAGCCCCAGCTCAGCGATTTACAGCATAATAGAGTAAACTGAATGGCAAGGACCATCACAGCTGACCCACCCTCTTCATTACCAGTTCATATTACTCCCATCAGAGAGTACAGGGGACCAGATTCAAATAAAAACATTTACAAGCAGGATGTGAATGTAGTCCCCCCACTGCCTATTTACTTATCCATTTATTTATTACATACTGTTGTTGTGATTTCATGTACTTCATGTGATTTTATATGACTTATATGTTTTGCTTGGGTGTTTTGTACTTTTATGGGAGAAACCAATTTCCAGAGTATTGCACGATAAAGTATCTTTCGACTGTTGTAGAGGGAGCCTTCTCACAACACTGATCACGAATGAGTGATGCTGAGCTGCTGAATGCCATTCCTTACATTGGACAAAGTAAACTCTATTTACTTAGCTAAGCTTGAATTATGTCACCAGCTCTTCTACATGTCTTTCACATAGTTAATCATTATCTAGACTGCCCCTCAGTCCTGTAACACAGCTGATATTTAACAGGCAGCAAGGGGCTGACACTGTACTTGAGGAATAGAAACACCAAGAGCGTGGGACTTTAGCATGGTGTGACTGGTCAGTCAGAGTAAGCAAGCAGTGGCGAGGACAGTACAGCATCTAGGGCTTTCTGTAGTTGCTCAAGTCCTTTATTTAACAGAAGTTTTGCTGGGGTCACAGTTGGTAGTGGTGGTGAAGAGGGAGCTGGGGGTTCCTTTTTTGCTGATTGAACAATTACTACTTATTAGACAGAAAGATGAAAAACAAACCAGGAGCCATCTTGGTAAGAGTTCACAAGTAAATATTAATTATGATCTGCAGTGCTTTCACCTACATCACAGGCAGCATGCTAAACCCTCTCTCTCCAGCTCCGGCCTTCCATGACCCCGGATTCCCACAACCCTCTGCATGGTTTACAATTTACAGACAGCAAACAATACTTTTAACAAAGACTATCATTTATATTTTATACTATTAACAATACTTCCCTGTTTTCACAGAATATCATCGTATACTTGCTCCTACCGAAAGCCTCATCTTCATTTTAGCTCACCCATTTGCGCCACATACCACCTTTTATATTTAAGAAATCCTCACAATTTAATTCCCTTCTTGACATTCAGTCAGGATGCACAACCTTGAACTGCCCCTTATGCAATCTCTGGTTTCTCCCACCCCACAGTAAAACTGCGAAAACACTATTCAAAAACGAATAACCTATATAATGTGAAAACAAAACCGATTACTATAAACGGGACAGTCCATGCGCTAGCGAGGTGAAATAGCTATCCGGGTCCACAAATCCAGCTGCCTGCGCAATCCAGCGTGGTTTCAACAACACGCCGGCGAGACACTGTACCTATTCATGCCGCTTGCAATGGCCACTCGGGTTGCACATACACCAGTTCGGCTGCAAATGGCAGTCCCGCTGTAGAGTCGCCTGAATGCTGTTCCATTTCTTGCTGATCCGGAAATCTGCAACAGAGAAGTAGTTGAATACTTGAGTAGCCGAGCCGTCCTCAAGAGCGCTGCCATGTTTAACCTGTTCAGTGTAGAGAGAAGGGCATCCACACCATGTGACCAGGTCACAGAGCACGGAAGAGCACACTGCATACCAACTGGGGGGGACTAAATATCAGTCATCATGAAAATTCATAATTAACAGAAACACTTGAGTGTTTCAGCGTAATATTTTATCTTCGTATAGTTTAAGAATATTACGTTACTATTCTTGCTATTGGACAAAAAATATTTATTTTTTTGTTTTCGGTATTTGTTTACCCCCCCTGTAAAGTGTAGCAATCAAAATGTCCTCACATAAAATCACTTTAATAAAATCCCGTTTCCTATCCCGGAGTTTCCAGCATTTGCCGCTCAGGTGAATGATATAAATTTCAGTTATTTAAGCTTTAAACGTTTGTGCTGTTAGAAATATTGAATATTTAACGATAATAAATACGGGTAGCCAACGTATAAACAAAGTTAACAGAGACATTAAGAATTGTATAACTTATCTTACTAATATTTTGTTGTATTATAATGATGTTGTTACAGATGTTTTTGTATTCTTGTAACGTTAACACTGCTCTGCATCTTTATAGAATTTCTAAATGTGTCTTAAATGCAGGCCGACTGAGATAAATGCATCCAGTAAATAATCATTGAAACTCGTGGGACGCTTTGGTCGTCCAACCAAGAGCTGAATGCTGCCTTTTCAAAGTGTGGATCCTTCATGGTGTTGATAACATGAACAAATATCCATACTTGCAGATATTTTTAAAATGGAAGAAAACTACAGGAAATTAGAAGAAATTCTGAGCTTATATAACTAGGAAGATATTCAATAGAAAAAACAATCGGCATAGTAGTGCTTTTTAACTCGCGGAGTTCTTCTACATGTAGCCGGAGGGTGGCGCTGTGGATCCAGAGAACCGAGGGCTCTCAAAGGGTGATCTCTGGAGAAGTCGCTGTGCATCATTGCAGACCATGGAGCAGTGATGTTCTGCATGTCGATTTATTTTTTAGAAATCTAAATGTTGCTCCTGCGTGGAGGAAACTAGTCAAGCCTGAATAAAATGGTATTAAAATATATATCGCTGAATTCATACTGATCATCTCTTTCACGATTATATATTTTAAAAATGTTAATGAAATGTAATTCAGTTTTTACTTGTTAAAATGTTTTTTTTAAAACTGAAATGTCATGCCAACTCCTTTGAGGACACTGGAACATGTCTAAATCCTGCTGTACTACTTTCTTAAAAGAAATGCACTCAAAACAACACCTGAAGAAGGCTTCACTGTTAAAACGTTGTTTTTTTTTCTTCTCTTTTCAGCATGAAAAAAACCTTTGCTTGTTTCTTTGCAGCCTACGCATGCTGACACAGTTACCTACTTGAACCTGGTTTTCAATATGTAAGCTTTGTTTATTTGTTAATGTTTCTGGGTATCTTTTTTAAAAAGAAAAAGAAAAGAAAACAATGTTGCCCTCAGAAGAAGGGAAAATTCCAGCATACTTAACAGGGGATGAAAGTATTTTTCCCCTGGCTTCTGACTCTGTGGGGTGGAGTTCAATTTTATCATGGAGACTGTGAAAAGATGCCCTGTTCTCTCCAGCAAGTAGTCGAGAACAACAGCTTGGTTCCCACAGTGAGATAAGATTGAGGGAAAGGTTAGGCATGGAGGGGGCTGCCAGCCTAAGTCCTGTGGAGCAGTGGAGCTGAGTGGTACCCACAGTGCCTAGCGTGGGGTGGCCTGCAGCACACGATGCACACCATGCTGCTCCTGTTCTCTCGGGAGAGGAACGCCCACCTCCTCACACACTCACCCTGTGCTCCTGCATGGCCCCGGGCGTAGAACCCACCTGATGGGCGACACTGAACTGCCAAGCACATCTGGCCCAGGACATCGCCTGGCAGTGGGCCACCCCACAGAGGGCGCTAGGGGAGGAGAGGCATCCTGGGCGGATGGGGGAGGGGTGGGGGGGGCAACAGGCGGCACAAACATTGCCACCTCTCTGGCAGGGAGCTGCCAACTGCCGTTATCAAACTGCGCTGGAGACGAATAGGGCCTGATTATGGCTGAAACCCGAGTGCAATACACTGTAGGTCATGAAGAACAAGTTGCTTTAATCACAAGTTTGTGACTTAAAATAACGCCCTCTGTGTATCTGTGAGACTCCTCTGAGTTATTGACTTTGTATATTAGTATTGCCTTTTGAAAGAGCATTGAATGGTTGTGAAACAACAAGAAAAATGAAAAATCCTGTATTTTCTTCACTCCAGTTCTGGTGTTTCCCATTTTATTTTTAATTTGACCAGTTTCTTCCCGACAGCCTCTCAAATCTTTTTGTTACGTTCTACATACAGAATGTATTCTCCCTAGAATAGTGAAGCGATTTACAGTGTGTAAGATCAGAGCAGTGTACAGACACCATCATAAAAGATAAAATTATTCACCACTTGGATAATCAAACAAATCCTCTGTTTTATTAATTCCCATTTTAGTCTTTATTCCTTTTACAGAATTCAAATTGGCTTCGTAGATAGAAAAGAGCTACTGCAAAGATTAAAATCATATACCATTTTGACATCGGAGATGTCTGTGAAAGATTGTGTGAGAAAAGATATGGAGGTATGTGAAGTGAGTGAGGAAGATGTGCTCGACAGAGACAAGTGGAGAAGAGCAACCAAAGCAGCTGACCCCAGGACAGTCTGGGACTGAGGCTGTGAAAAAGAAGAAGAGGAGGAAGAAGAAGAAGAAGATGTCTGTGAAAGACTCTGGCTCCCCTGTTACCCTGTAGTGGAGGAAGCAGGTAGAAAATGGATGGATGGATGCAGTCTTTCATTGCTAAACTATGCACCTTAAAACATTTCAGCGATTCCTCAAATACCAAACATGTCCTAAATCATGATTACACCTTTTGTAATTCATGTAAAATTCCAGCTTTGGGAAAGCATTAGGAGTTATTTTGAGTGACATGCTACAGTATGTGAATCCTTGTAAGCCCTTATGCGGATCCTTTTTTTCCCTTCTGCATTTCCTTGCTCTGTCTCTCTTCTATATTTGCCAGTGTTTTGGCCTCGCGCTATGGAATTAATTGAGTCCTGCCCCTGGAGGCTCACCTTCCCCACCGACCGACCGCACACAGGAGTGATACCCTGGGATGTTTCTGTGAACGAAAGCGGGCAAGTCTTGGTAAGGTGCCTTATTTTTTTTTTACAAAGCCATGTGAGCTAAAAGAAAAATGCAGTAAAAGTGATCTGGAGGTTATTAAATATTAAATACTTAAAGTGAAAGTGTATGGTATGCAGCTGAGAGAACACTTTACGTTTTTTGGTGAATGAACTCAGAAAAGCCTGTTACGTTTTTCTATTTTACTTTATGAATGCATTTTGTTTCTTATTTATTATTCATTTCCGTTATCTATTATTTAATATTTTCACTCCCCTACACTACACTTTTTTTCCTAAATGACAATTATACACATTTTGCATTGTGTGAGTGTATAAAGGCTTTGGAAAGATTTTTTTCTAGAACAACACATTTTCTTACTGTTCATGGCTATTCGTAGCAAACAGAAGTATAAACAAAGTTTAACTACCTACCTATACAAGGACTACATTAATTGGTTACATTAATAACTCAAATAGCTCATTACAGTTATAAAGGTTTGTGTACTTGTATGCACAGTAGAGATTATGGAAGCTGGCAGTAATGTGAACTACCAATTGGAATGAAAAGTATAATTGGAACAATAATTCTTCTGACAATCAAAGGCTATTAAATGGGTAGGATGAAGTATGCTACCCTCACACGCCAAGCAGTAAAATTGATCCTTCATTATTGATTTAACTATTAACATCAGCATAATCGAAGGAAAGCAGTTATTGTGATACTGTACACCTCTGTGCAGAGTCTCACTTACCAGTGTCTTCATCTACCTTAACAATGCATATTTTTGTTAAATGCCGTCTCCAGCTTCCAGGAGTCTCAGCTTCTTTGCACCTTTTTCTGCAAAGCATGCTTTTTGGGCTTCGTGGTGGGTCATCTCTGCACCCTTCTGCGCCAGCAAGTGAGCAGACATCAGCCATGAGTGTGACACTGCCAACAGCAGGACAGCTTGTCTTCACCCTTTTCATCCCCAGACAGCAATGTGTGAAGGCTGTAGTAGAGTGATAAAGTGTTTCCCAAAGGGTCAGTAGTGGCTGTCTGCATCACAAAGTATCATTACAACACCTCTTTATGTAATGTACGGTATGTATTTCAGAAGACCTCTATTAGCTAAAGTGCTATGTATGTGAAGATAAATGATAATTTAATAGGAAAGGAGCATATTGCTTGAATCATGCTGCTCACAGTTCAATATTAAACGGCATCATAGATCTACTGTATGTTAGGTTCACCTCAGGTCTGAATTAAAACTCTGCAGCTTTATGCTTGTAGTTAAATTTATACCAATTTCAGACTATCAATAACTACAGAACCAGAAAGAAACGTGAATAGGAAGTACACTAAAAGAAAGATTTCTATCATCTTAATTCTATGAATTTGTGGTTATTATCTGAACATCTTAAATTTCGCTTTAGAGTTCCACTTAGGTATTTACTTTAACTTGTTGTGCAAAGCATGTGGATATCAGTAGTTTGATTAAAGGAGAAAGAGGCATTAACCCAAACTTTAATGACCAAGACTACTTGGTCATTAAAGAACTCATGGCATCATTGGAATGTTAATCCTGTTGTCCTTGTCCTGGCTAATTCTACTTAGGGACTGCACAATTCCCTAAAACACAGTTGGTGAACAGTTTCTCTCTTCTCTATCTGATCTGCTGCACATTGGAGCTGCTGACACACAATGGCTGCCACTTGTCACCCAGGTGGGTGCAGAGCTTCTCTCTTTGGTTCAGTACTATATGTGAAGCATTTTGGGTTTAAAGAATGTTCATTTAATGGGGCATATTTTATGCCTTTATTTACCCAAAATAACAAACGTTATTCCCCAAAATTCGCTGCAGGATTAGGTGTTTCCAAGCCTGTGTCTGGCTCCAGGGTGAGAGAGCCTGTTCATTTGACTGATAAAGCATGGATGCAGAGGAAAATAAATATTTCTATATATAATACACACATCTGTGTATCTAGGTGCTTCTGCACTGTAGTAATTAGATCATGCAGGATAGTGAACTTGTTTTTAGGCAAAGGATGTACAGTTTAGATGATTTTTTCAGACTCTGTTTCACTGGCTGGATTATAAAGTTCACTGGCGGCCAAAAGGAAAATTGACTTTTCCCAGGCTTCAAGTGAGATAGATGGCCATTATTTGAAAGCCGCCTCATCAGTATAATCACCTGAATATTACATCTGCTTCCATGACCACTGATTCTTATATCTTATATCTGTATTTTTTTGTAGCTATGAAGTCACCCTGACAGCATGGGATTCATTGTACTGTAAATATTTGTTTCAAATGCAGTGTATTTTATTTGACTGAAACGGTACAGATGAAGTGTTTAAAGATGATTCCTACTGATGAGTAGTAAAAATAAAAAGATACTTTTTATTCCTGTTGACGTTCTTGCTAGTCATATGTGTAGTTACAATACAAATATTATATATTAAAACCTAATATTTTAGAAATTTCACAGAAAGTGAAGTGAGACAAGATAAAGAAGTGGCTGTCAAAGACTGGAGGTTCAAAATTTCCTGTGCTGCATATATAGACTACAAATCACAAATCGAGGCTGTCCTAAAGCAAATATGTCTGCAGTTTTTAAAAAGTAAAAGAAAAAAAATGATTTGGAAAATTGTTCAGACAAAACTATTGTGTTCCCATGGCAAAGTTCAAGTTCAGACCTCATCTCTCCTTTTCACAAGTTGTGACATCTTAATTCAGACCACTTTACCTAATCAGGCTGTACTCACTTACAGTGAAGCAGTGACTAGCAGGATAATTTATTCCATTCATTGAGAGTTCCTGCCTCTTCCAGGAAAAAATCATCTTTTCACGTTCAACCTCTACGTAGTCCTGCATGTGCTGTTTTATTTAACTGTAATGGCCACTCAATTTGTTACCCCTGTGGCCTGTATGATCAGGCCTTCTATTTCAATGCAACACTTTCTCCATCAACCCCCCAGACTGTGGGCCTGGAAACACAAGTGTGTGCCCTTTCTGATTTCTGTTTGAACTGGCAGGCATCAGCCATGGTGGACTGGGGTAAGTACAGGTCTGTACTCTTAAGTGCTGTTGTGTTACTGAGGGTGATTGGGCCCCATTCTCCTCCCTTTGCTTGTATCAATCCTTCTGGACTAGTTAGAACTTCAAGACTGAGAAGACACCCGAAACGACCTTTATTAGCCCTATACAATTTCTTGCATTAGGAATTCGTCTTTTCGCATACCCCAACTTGCTCTCCATGAGACACATAGACAGGAAGAGAAGCCTGGGGTCAGAGCCCAGGATCAGCTATTGTACAGTGCCCCTGGAGCAGTTGGGGTTAAGGGCTTTGCTCAGGGGCCGAACAGAGTAGGATTCCTCTGCCAGCTGCAGGATTTGAACCGGCAACTTTCCAGCCACAGGCGCAGAACCACCGCTCCACATGCCCTCAGTTCAATCTGAATAACATCACTTAAATGTAAAATCATTGCTTATTATAGATGGTTCTTTCTTTAAAAGTCTGGTCAGTTATTAGAATTAATACATGGCTTGCAAAAGGGTATTTTCTTGATAACAGATTATTGAGATCATTTTATTGCTATTGTACGTGCCTGATGATCAAGGTGAATGTACAAATGAACAGCATTGTTACCCACTTGCAGCACTGCAGCATGTTTCTGTTTTGGCTGCATACATGTATCTTAAGTACTGCAAACCACTCTCTACATTTCAGAAATGTTTGTGTCTTTGCACAGTTCCCATTCCAAAACATATTTCATCAGCTGCATTTTAAACTGTATTGCTCTCTATTCCTCATACTGTACATTCTATCCTGGACATGGAGAACTCTAGGGAACAGAAGGTAAATTCTGCAAAAAATAAAAACCTTCTGGAAACAGCTTAACGATCAGCGATGCTGCACTTCTCCATGTATTTGTGTCCTCAGCAGGGATTTTGGTATCTGAAGTGTGATCACTCAGCCACTGACCCTGATCGTCTGCACTTTGATAGCACTCTCTGGAGAACAGTAGCCTGTTTCTTTCTGCCAGGGCACTGAAGTGAAGTTTAGTCCATGGGGAGGAATTCCACTTACTGGTTCAAAGACACTGCTTCCTGCAATCCTGCAGCCCCTGATTTCCTGTCCCCGTTATGACCAGGCCAGTCCAGCTGAGTTTCTAACATGTGACCAGACATGGCTCTGGAGTGGTGTGGCTCCAAGCCAGAGAAAGACCAGAACTCTTCCCTGGTATGACAAAACACAGTGAAGGTATTGTTAGGTTGTTGCCTCACAAATTCTTGACAGCAGGAAAAAAATATTTGGGGGACTGATGTTAAAAAAGCCCCTTTGAAGGGCTGTCCTCCTAAATAATTAAAATGATAAGGCTAAAGCCGGAGAAAAAGGTTGCAAGAAAGCACTGGAAAGATTGTACTGGCAAGCACCCTTGCACCTTGTAGGATCCTGACAGAACTCCTGAAATTTCTTAAGTGTTCCCGGTGGGTCAGTGTGTAGGTGTTAAACATTCAGAGCGCCTGGTGCTCTGCAGGTGTGTGGCCAGTGCGTCCAGTTTAGCATGAAGACGGGAGGACAGACAGCGCCTGCGATGAAGCAGGATGGTGTGGGCCTTGTCTTCATTATCGGCAGTGACAGGAAGTTGAGCGGCTCTCTTCCCACTCTAATTCTGCCCCCAGGGCCTTTCTCCTGCATGGAGGGAGGGTGGCCAAATGTCACACTCTTCCCCACCGTTCCCACAACTGCACCTCCTCCTCTGGTCTGAACAAACACTCAGACATGCTGTGTTGGCAGTAAGGAGGAAGTTGTGTTCAACACCTTAAAGGTCAAGTGGCCAGTTTTATAAAATAATTGTTTAACATCATTTCCCTGCTTGTTTGCATAATCCTATACAAATGTGTATATTTGTGTTGTGAGGGGACAAACGTAGTAGTTTAAAGTGATATGAAATAAGCTTGTAGCCAGAGTGCTCAAGGTAAAAGCACACAGCTGACAGTTACCTTCTGCTGAAGTGTGCTTTACATTTCCAGCATCAATTGTTTCGATCCCTTATTATATAAAGAGCACTAGTATACTTAAAACCTGTGCAGATGAATGTTTGAACACACCAATAATAAAATGTGAGGTGCACTAGATGGCTCTAGTCCCAGAGAGCCTCAGTCCAGTTAGTCTTATAGGTTACTTGTTTTTAAAGACTTTACACCTGTAAGCTGCAAGTAATCTGTTCAATTAAGTGAAGTGTGTGGAAGTGTAGATTTTCGTTCCAAAATGATCAATAAACGTACCTGTTTAATTTACCACAATGGAATTGATCCAGATATTTAGAAGTTGGTGACTTAATGGTGATCTTCAATACCTGGTTGATTGGAGCTCTCCAAATCCAGGTAGGAGATTCCTGGTCTACAGTATTTCTTTATCACACTTCAAGATGCGGTACCTTGAAAGTTTAAAAACAGGCTTTTAAAATTGTCACTTTAATTTGAAAAGTCAACTGAAAACTGTTGTAGAGACAACATAATGAAGATAATTTAATGATACAAAAGCTGTATTTAAAAAAATAAAACAGACATAAATAAAATACACTTTCTTTCATTAGATTTCTTTTAACTGCTTTCAAATTATGTAAAGTTAATTTTGCATAATGAAAAAGAAATGTATTTAAAATTGTGTGATTACAATATAATTAAAGTTTCAGGAATGTTTTCTCATGAGCCCAGTATGAGTCACTCAATCAATTAAAACTAATAAATATAAATTCAATGAGTGTTTAGAACTGGCTGATACAGCGCGCGTCTTTTTCAGAATGAATCAAGATGTGTTGAGTGTGTTTTCTGCATTATAAATGGTTGTTTATGTGTTTCTCTGTGCACTGTGCTGACCTTGGCACTCAGGAATGAAACCTTGCTTTTGAAACTTTCACAATATTTCAATATTTATAAGCCTTTTCCATTATATCATTACATAGTGGTTTCAGAAAGCCAGCAGACTGGGTTCTAAGAGAGGGTGGGTGGGGGTTGTTTAAAAGCTGTTTTTATATTAAATCTATTTAAAGTCCATCTTTAGATTCTCAAACTTGTTTGGAAATCTTAAAGAACTAAGCTTGAAAACATGTTATACCCACAACTGAAAGAAAAACTGAATGCCCCTTTGAATTTTGTTTTAAATTCTCTTATGAGTGTACCTACAGAAGCACTATAAGTTTTTATACAATCACACTAAAAGAATGCATAATGCCACTCCAACTTACTACAGGCAAACCTGGCTGAATCCAGTTTTTCATGTGGTTTTAATGTCTTTCTTTTAAAATATCCCCTAATACCAAAGTCGATGAGTTCAGAACAATCTGTTTTAGCCTCTTCTAGTCATCCTTTGTGTTATGATCATGCCTTGCCATGAACAGAACACAATATTGATTTAGCATAAATCGGGAATTGTCTGGAAAATGTGATTCAAAATTTGGCCTCAGTGTGCATATTGCAATTTCCAGTAAATTTGAAATTCTATGTCAATTTAGTGGCAGCATGGTGGTGCAGTAGTTAGCATTCTAGCCTGGCAGCACTGGGGCTCAGGGTTCAGTTCCAGACCTGGTGTGGAGTTTGTGTGTTCTCCCTGTGTTCACATGGGTTCTCTCACAGTCCAAAGACACGTTGGTAGGTGAACTGGCTTGTGTAAGAACTGGCTCTGATGGGAGCACAAGCGTGTCTGTGTCTGTGCGTCTGCCTTGTGATGGAAGACCTCCCTTCCAGGTTATATCCTGCCTTGCACCCGGTACTCGCCGGGCGAGGCTCCGATTTATACTGGATAAAGTGGTTTAGAAAACTGATGGATGGGTAGAAGGCCATTAAATAATCGGCGGAAACTAGAAGTACAGCCACTCTTGGCTGGCTCACATTAAAAGACGTTTATGTGAAAAAGAACTGAACTGCTGAGAGTCACGAACAAAAACCGCAAGTCAAATGTCCTCTCCATCCCTCGCTCACCCCTGGCACTATCCTTCCGCATTAGTTAAGTGGAAATGATCAGGTATATTAGCATAGCAGGAGGTGGCGATGTGACCCAGATGTTGAGTCAGAGGCTCGGGGCTCCCTGACACACGGTGTTGCCAGCCTCCCTCAGGATTTCCTGTGAAGGGCCCCAGGAGGTCTGGCAGCGGCCTGCGGCCCCCGCGCCGCGCGGGGGGACCTCAGCCCTGTGGTGTGGGTAATCAGGACTGACGCGGTGGCAGAGCACCTTGCCCAGAACGCCGTGCCTCTCGACCACGGGAGAAAAAGTTATTCTTAACAGCACGCCACACTGTTCAGGTCACATTCCATTAGTCAGCACCGTCCATCAGCCGGGGCCGAGCCACTGCCTTGTCTCCTCTCGTTGGCTTTTAGCAGAGAGATGCTGCAGCCGG